TTCCTCCCTCTCTCCCAGTTTTTTCCTCCTGTCCTTGCTCACAATTTGTATAGTTCATTATCAACATAGTATCTACTAAGAACCACTGCTGCATTTGTTCACCCTTTGTCCTCCCCTTTCTGTGCCTCTCCTTACCCCTCCCCCAAGGCAGATAAATGAACAAACAAGACCAAAAAAAAAAAAACCCTCTTGTTTCCATTTCTTGGAATTCATTTAGATAAATACTGGTGTATATGCTCAGAGGTACAGAGGCATTATGCTTTTATGTTCCTCCCCTAAGAGTATCTTCCTTCGGTCTTACTGTGTGTAAATACCTAGGGTCCTGCATAATTTATTTTACCCCGGTGTATTTTAGATCTAGCTTCTTCATTTGGCAAAAAACATGCACCCTGTGCTGGCTTACCTCCTCACATAACATAATTTGTTCTAGGGGCTGGGAAGGTGGCTCAGTAGTAGGGCACTTGCCTTGCATGCCTGAGGCCCTGGGTTCCATTCCTCAGCACCACATAAGCAAAAAGAAAAAAGCCGGAGGTGGCGCTGTGGCTCAAGTGGTAGAGCACTAGCCTTGAGCTGAAGAGCTGAGGGACAGCGCCCAGGCCCAGAGTTCAGGCGCCACAACCGGACCCCCTCCAAAAAACCCCATAATTTGATCTAGGTCCATCCATTTCCTGCAAATGACATACTATTCTTTCTAATGGCTGTGTAAAATTCCATTTTGTATAGGTACCATGTCCTTTGGATTCACTCACCTATTGTAGGGCATCTGTGCTGTTTCCACAACTCGGCAATTGTGAATAGTGCAACAATGAACAGGGATGTGCAAGTGTCTTTATGGTATACTAGTTTGTGATATTCTGGGTAGAAGCCTAGAAGTGGTATGATTGGGTTGTAGGAAAGAATTATGTTTAGTTCTTTTGAGGAGCCTCTGTATTGCTGTCCATAATGGTGTACTAGTTTACATCCCTACCAGCAATGCAATAGAGTTTATTTTGACTGCTTAAGAATTTTTCCTGCACAATTTCTTGGTTCTTGGCTGTGTTGAGTATAGTGAATATTAATGTTATCAATCCTGTATTTATTTTGTATGTACCCATTCTAAATATATATTAATGATTAATGAAACTAGTTCGTTATTGAAATATTATTAAACACTATGTCTTGTCAGTGATAATACTTTTATCTTCTTAAACCAGAAGTTAGGAGCAGAATGCTAATTTAGGAATAATATTCCATTGCATTAGCTAGAGAGAGTAAAGCCTATCATGATTATCTAATGTAAAATTTATTTGAAAAAAGAAACTGAAAACCCTGGAAGTTAATTATATAACTATGGTTATATAATTATATAGTAGTAGAGTATATAGAGTAGTAAAGTTATATTCATTGGAGTTATTGTGAACTTGTGACTGTTCCGAAAATAAAAAAGACTATAACAAAAAAATGAGTGTTTCATTTTTTAATCCAAGTTAAATATGGTTAACTGTATTTTAGAAATTGAAGAGAGACCTAGTTGGAACAGAAAATATACACTGTAGAGAGAATCCGTAAAGCTCAGACCTGATTCTTTTTAAAAAAAATCTTAACAATATTGACAATCTTTTGGTAAGATTGATAAGGAAAAAGAGAGTTGAAGGTATTGGTAAACAGAATCAGAAGTGAAAAATGAACATAATTATAGACAAAGCACAAATAAAATAAGTAAAAGGTACTAGGATGTTGATATGCTGATGTGTTTACAAGTCCAAATGAAGTTGGGCACTGGTAGCTAACAACTGTAGTCCTAGCTACTCAGGAGGCTGAGATCTGAGGATCACAGTTCAAAGCCAGCCCAGGCCAAACAACAACAACAAAAAAGTCCATGAAACTCTGATCTTCAACAAACTCTGATCTTCAGAAAAAGCTGGAAATGGCTATATGACTCAAGTGATAGAGAGATAGCCTTGAGCAAAGGAAGCTTGGGGGCAGTGCCCAAACCCTGAGTTCAAGCCCCAGGACTGGCAAAATAAAAACCATAGCCCAGGCCTGATTTAATAAAGATCAAACCCTATCTCAAAACTAACCAGTGCAAAAAGGGGCTGGATGCATGACTCAATGGGTGGTGTGCCTGTCTAGCAAGCTTGAGGTCAAGAATTCAATCCCCAGGACCAGTAAAAAAAGAAAAAGAAATTGAACTGGGAATCTCCAGATCCGGTGCATATCATCACTGAATTTTTCTGAATGTTTAATGAAATAATTCCAACCTTGTACAGCTGTCTTTAGAAACTGGTAGGAAGGGAAGTAGAAGAGCAGTAGTTTTATAACTTTGATGTGAAATTCATTTGAAAGACAAGCTATCATTTTTAATCATACTATAAATATCTTTACTAAGAATATATTATGACTAATTTAAATAAAAGCCTAAGAATATAATACTAGTTTATTAACATTAGAAATTTTTGTGATTTAACTGGAGTCACAAGTTAAAGACAGTAAAGTAGTCATGGTAATCTTATAGATATGGGGATAATATGACATAGCACATTTCAGTTTTATTAAAGTGTTATGAATTTATATAAAAGTTAATTTGAAAGTATAAATAAGGCCTTGGCCCTTCTTTTTCACAAATGTGGAACATGAACATGTAAATACTGTAGTACAAATGTATGTGAAGTATTGTGTGTCACAGAGTAAGGAAAGGCTAACTATATCTTCATAGTAAAAGTAAGGCAAACCAGAAGGTTTGGCTCTGAGTATTGAGAGGTAAGGTGGCCTTGTAAAAATGGCATGAATTTAAGTTAGGCTTCAGTTAGAATTAGGTCCCATACTGTCACTTGTTGATGGTACTCAACTCAATTTCTCTGAAGCTCAGGGTTTTGTTTTTGTTTTTTAAACAAACTATATGTGGTTAGTATTTTTTGCATACTGTCATGCCAAAAATCAGAAAAAAATGTGTAAGTCAAGATCTAGCATTTTACAAGGATTCTCATAAATGGGTATTAGTTACTTTCATCCTGTAGTGCTATGATACTCATCAGTTAATAAATGAATCAGAATTAGCTACATGCAGAATGAGTTAAGAGGATGTAAACTAAATGAGAAAGATCGTGAAAGCACAAGTCTAATAAACTGGTAAACTGGAGAAGGGTATATTATTATTTTTTTTGTCAGTCATGGATCTTGAACTCAGGACTTAGGCACTGTCCCTAAGCTCTGTTTGGTCAAGGTTAGTGTTCTACACTTTAAGCCACACCTCCACTTCCAGTTTTCTGGAAGTTAATTGGAGATAAGAGTCTCACAGACTTTCCTGCCTGGGCTGACTTTGAACTGTGACCTTAGATCTCAGCTTCTCCTGAGTAGCTAGGATTACAGGCTTGAGCTGCCAATGCCCAATTTGGTCTCTACATTTTAAATGAAATAATATGTTTAGTTCCTCTGTCCTCTATCTCTTCTCCTTCTTCTACTTCCCTCTCTTTCTTTTATTTTCCCTTTATATCTTGTAGGGACAAGTGATTTCTTTAAGTCAATATTATTAAGTCTATTGTTTTTCTCTTTATCATTGCAGTGTAACATTTACTGTGTGAACATACTCTTTTGTATTAACTTATTGTATGATTAATAGCCATTTTAATTCATTCCAGATTTTTGCTAGTATGAATAAAACATATACACTTTCATGTGCTCTCTCCTCTGTTGGTATATCTACATTAGAATTCCAGTTAAAATTTCAATTCTTGTAGAGAATGTTAATAGGTTCCCAAAATGATTATGCTTCTTTATCTTCCTTTCTTCTTACTTCACAAGCTTATTAATACTTGGATGGTTTTAGTCCTTTTAATTTTAGTAATCTTGATAGGAATGTAGTTTTTGTCTCATTTGTGGGAATGAAGAGGATAGTTGAAAAGAATTTACTACCTCAAAATACTAAAGGCAAGCTTGATGAGACTATTCTTCCTTACTCACAGTGCTCATGTATTTTAGGTTCACCCTTTTAGAATTTGTTTTAAAATTTGTTAGTAATAGACAATGCTAGTAAAGGTCACAGTAATTGAATATATGCATCCTGAATAAGTATTTATTGATCAATCGGTTGGTTTATTTAGCTTATCTACCTGCCTATCTATCTATCTATCTGTCTGTCTGTCTGTCTATCTGTCTATCTGTCTGTCTGTCTGTCTGCCTATCTGCCTATCTGCCTATCTATCTATCTGTCTGTCTGTCTGTCTATCTGTCTGTCTGTCTGTCTGTCTGCCTATCTGCCTATCTGCCTATCTATCTATCTATCTGTCTGTCTGTCTGTCTGTCTATCTGTCTGTCTGTCTGTCTGTCTGCCTATCTGCCTATCTGCCTATCTATCTATCTATCTATCTATCTATCTATCTATCTATCTATCTATCTATCTATCTATCTATCTATCTATCTATCATCTATCTATCTGAAGTATTGCTATATTACCAGGCTGGTTTCAAATTCCTAGACTCAGGTGTTTTTAGGGTAGCTGGGATTATAGGCATGTGCCAATATACCCAGCTTAGTTTTCAGGGTTTTTTTTTTAAGTTTATTTCTTAGTCCAGATTTATTTTCTAACTTTCTTTTATTTCTTTTATTTTGGAATATATTTCAATTTGACAAGAAGTTTGAAAAGTATGTCAGGTTGGTTCCTGTGTGCTAGGATTCCTTGTTAGAAATCAATTCATTATAATAAAAGCTGTGAGTACTGATTTTTATAACATAGTGCTCTCATAGCACAAAAAGAAATATTTAGCTCAATGTTGGTGGTTTCAGGGAAAGACTTCATTGTCTTTCTGAATCTTAATCAGTCTTGAAGAAGTATACTGAGACAATCCTTTGGATGTTAGTAAATCATAATACCATGTGTTGAGTATAGTCTATGATTCCCAAACTGATGAACTATCAAATATAATGCATATTTGAAATTGAATGACATGTATATGTTTGCTTTTTACTGTTAATGACTATGGCCTAATGTAGTAATACAAAAATATTGATCATTTATCCCAAAGGTTTTGAAAGAGGAAAGGAAGATATCTCTCAAAATAAAGATGAATCTTCACTTTCTATGTCAAAAAGCAAGGTAAGAATATTGTCCTCAATACAAAACTCTGACATTTTTCTAATAATTAAGAGGAATGAACTAAAACTGAACTTCTTTTAAGTTTTTATAATCTATATTTATGTGAATATGTGTTAACTCTAATAGTCTGGGTAATAAAAGTTCTACAGTTATATTGCTATAAGTGCCAATATATAGATTTTAATACTTTGGTTTGATGAGCAGATAGAGGTAGAAGTATTAAAAAAAATGCACAAAGAGTTGGATGTGGGTGGCTCATGCCTGGAATCCTAGCTACTCAGGAAGCTGAGATCTGAGAATCATGATTTGAAGCCAGCCTGGAGAAGATAAATCCCTGAGATTTTTATCTTCAATTAACCAGAAAAAAAGCCAGAAGTGGAGGTATGGCCCAAGTGGTAGAACACCTGCCTCGAGTGAAAAGGCTGAGTTCAATCCCCAGTAACAGCACTAGATAGATAGATAGATAGATAGATAGATAATATTGGACAAAGAGGATAATGATCTAATAAAGTTAGGCCTATTTGTTGAAATTTTTCTTGGTGAAGAAGAATTACATGTATCACTTCCTCTTTTCTTTCAAGGATAGGGAGAACATCTGGTTTGGAGAACATTAGAGAAATCTTTTATAGCCTGCTTCATAAGAGAAACACAAGATAGGGTCAGAGAATGGCCTTCTTGCTTCTGAGGCTTTCTCATTTCCTTCACCATGAAATTCTCACTGTGCCAAGGTGCTGTATTTTGTGGTAGTATATTTTGAGTCCTGTCAATCATATTCTTTGTTAACTAAAACCAAAGAAGGAAGCTGGGGACAATGGTAATGCTAACTACTTGGGAGGATCCTTGTTTGAGGCCACCCCAGGGTTAAAGCTAATGAAATATCTGTTCAATCAATAAAATCTGGCTGTGGTTGTATACAACTGTCATTCTAGCTTCTTGGGAAGCATATATAGGAGGCTCACAGTCCAGGCTGGCCTGAACATAAATTTGAGACCTTATTCAAAACAATACCTTACGTCAACAAGAGCTGGGGGGCATAGCTTAAGTGGTGAGTGGCTACTTAGCAAGTGCAAGGCCTTGAGTTCATACCACTTCCCCTTAAAAAACAAAAGCAAAAAAGGAAGAAAGAATACTATAACTTGACTTCCATAGCTAGAAATACAGTGAAATTAACATTGGGTTTTTTTTTTTAGAAGTTTACTTTCAAGCATTTAATACGAATTGGTGACTGTGTAATGATATTCCTATTCGGACTCAAAGACTTACATATTCTGACCAACTAGGTTCTCTCTCTCTCTCTCTCTCTCTCTCTCACTCTCTCACACACACACACACACACACACACACACACACCATTCCCTAGATATTTTCATCACAATAGCAAGTGTATTGAAATAGTTAGTCAAGATATCTCAAATGAAATAGAATTAATTTTTAATTATTTTATCTCTATGAGTGGAATGGCCAGCATAATTAATGTATCTAATGAGATAAAGGAATCTTATTACCAGCATAAGAAGTTTCTGGATCATAGATCCCTTAATTTGATCCTCCAACTATCTGTCTGCTTGCAAGTGTGATTGCTGATTTGTCTGTTATTTGCTTTAAAAAACAAAACAAAACTGGGGTCTGAGAAGGTGCCTCAATGGTAGAGTGCTTGCCTTGCATGCAAGAGGCCCTGGGTTCAATTCCTCAGTACCACATAAGAAGAAGAAGCCAGAAAAGGTGCTGTGGTCAAGTGGTAGAGTGCTAGCCTTGACCTGAAGACCTCAGGGACAGCACCCAAGCCCAGATATCAGGCCCCATGACTGACCTAAATAAATAGATCAATCAATTGATGGATCAATAGATAAATAAACTGAGTGGGTTCAAACCACCAACCTTTCAGTTAAAAAATAAACTAACCTAGACCTTTATAAATCTTTTTCAACCAAAACTATTTTTGTAGTTACAGTAACTTATTTTTTTTTAATTTAATTTTATTTTATTTGTGAACATACTGTACAGAGGGGTTACAATTACATGGGCAGGATAATGCGTACATTTCTTACCAAGCATTGCAGCCTCCTCCTTTGGTTTACCTTTCACATCCCTTCCCAGCCTCCCCCCTCCTCCCCAATCCCAATCCTTCTCCTTCCCCCCCCCCCCTCCCCCCTCACCGACGTTGTAAAGCTCGTTTTGGACATGACAACTTGTACTTCTCATTGTTGCAACAGGTCCACCTGTATCCTTAAACAACTGGTTTTTCCCCATCTCCTCCACAAGTTATACTGACATCAAATATAGTGAAAGCAGGGGTTATACTGTAGGGGAGGGACATACAAAGCAACAAAGAGATAATCTTATAAATGTGTTAGAAACACATGCATGAAAGAAAAAAACATTAAAATACATATCTAAGGGTTCATTTTCCTGACATCACATTATCTGACCTTTTCCGCTTGACTCATACATATACTAGATATTGCAAATAAGGGAAACCATGGGACCTATGTTTCTTTGGGCCTGGCTTACTTCACTTAATATAATTTTTTCCAAGTTTTTCCATTTCCTAACAAATGGGGCAATGTCATTCTTTCTGATGGAGGCATAGAATTCCATTGTGTATACATACCACATTTTCTTGATCCAACAGTAACTTATTTTTGCTGTTTCCCCCCCACCCTCTCTCTCTTTCTCTCTCTCTCTCTACATATATACATATATATATATATATATATAAAATGTAATATTTTGTCATTTCCAAAGAAAATCACAAGACTGTTCATACCTTATTTGAAAGGTCAGAGTTTTGACAGAATTTGCAATCTAGATTATAGTCATAAACCTAAAACACAGCAGTACTGAGTTAAACATTTTATAAGTGCTAATTCATTTAACCCTCAAAGCTACCCTGTGAGTTCATAGTACTGTGCCTCATTTGTAAAATGAGGAAACTAAGACCAAAGAGACTAAATAATTTATTAAAGTCACATAGCCTGTTAGGTCACAACAATTAAAGAGAGGGGCGAGAGGGAGGGTAGAGGAGACAGAGAGAAAGGGGGAGAGGGAGAAAAAGGAGAGGAAGAGTGAGAAAATAACATGCTACACATTCCAAGTCTATTTAACAAAGAGTCTAGAAGTACTGTACAATAAATTCTGTGTTCATCATTAAGACAGTAGTCAGTAAACTTTATGAACAAAGGGAAACTTAGTTTAGTAAAATATTTTCACAAAAATGGTTTATTGGTTTTGGCCTATTAAAGTTGTGTTGATGATATAAGATGATAGAACTTAGTCACTGGCTTTTCTATTTGATGGCAATGTGACTTTTGAAAGATAGTTAAGTCGTAGTCTTACTTTTGTTCATTAGTAAAAAGGGGCTACTATTACTAGCTCATAGTATTGCTTTGCATATTAAATGAGATAGCACATATCATGTGTTTAATACTTTGCAAAATAATAACCAACCATTTAACAACTTTAATTGTTAAGCTAGTAATGTTAGGTTCTTCATTTAATAGTATCTAAGAAGTATGTTATGATATACATTTTTGTATTTGTGAGAAAGAGAATTTCATGATAATGTTAAGCCATCAAATTTCTCCAATAGGAGCTGTGTCATTTTGGGGTTTCCAGGGCCAAGGAGAATGTAAAGACCTGTTTAGCTGGAGGAATTGTTTTGGCATCACTGTATATGACACCTCATGGAAATAGCAATCTGATACCTCGGGACTGATTCTTAAGTCAGTAACTTTAGCAGCAGTCTAACCAGGTCAATCCCCATGTTCTATAGTGAGCAGTATTTACAATTTTTTTCTCTTTTTCTGTCTTTTAAAAATTTTTTATTGTCAAGGTGATATACAGAGGGGTTACAGTTACATAAGTAAGGTAGTGAGTACAGTTTTTTCCTTGTGTAGCCACTTGCTATTACTACCATTCCTGATTTATGCCTCATTTTTCTAAAGGTGCTTTGAGCCTAACATCAGAGACATTTTTAGCAGACTTGAGAGAAGAATCAGTCCTAGTTCCATTTTCATTTTATTCACTGGTCAGATATTTATTGACTCAGGTGATACACTGGCTGTTACTGATAACAAAACATAGCACCTGCCCTTGTAGGTATTAAAATGGAGGGAATTTGTATCTGAATGTTTTCATCTTTGATCAGATCTAATGATAGTCTGAAGATCTGGCCATTCAATATTTGAAAGGTACCATTTAGATTAAGTCCCTTATAATTTCTTGGTATTAGGTATATGGCTAAGATAAGAACTAGGAACTTTTAAGTTTTAGCAATTAAAAACTTCAGGTTCATAGCTATTATATATCTGACAATAGGTAAAAATTTCTTTGTTGTTATCTATTTTACATTGAAGGGATATGTTTAATTTTATATTCAGATTCATAGAAGAAACTTTAATTTTATACTCTTTTCTACTCTGGTAAACCGTTATGGCACTGGATTAGGAAGGAGGCCTAGGTTCTAATAAGTGCTATATTAATGATTGTGGTTTGCAAAATCAGCTCATCTGAGCCTCCCTTTATGACTTGTAAAATGTTGTGTTTTTTCCCCAAGTTTCTTTTTCATTTGTTTTTCTTTCTTTTTTTTTTTTTTTTTTGTCAGTCACAGGGCTTGAACCCTGGGCCTGGGCGCTGTCCCTGAGCTCTTCGGCTCAAGGCTAGCACTCTACCACTTGAGCTACAGTGCCACTTCCAGCTTTTTCTGCTTTATGTGGTGCTGAGGAATTGAACCCAGGGCCTCATGCATGCGAGGGAAGCACTCTACCACTGAGCCACCTTCCCAGCCCCCCCCCCCCAAGTTTCTTATGAAGGCTAAATAAACGAAATATAAACAAAGTCTTAACAGCAAATTTATGACATTAATAACACTTGAAGTGAGCAGGATAGGTGAAAAAATCTCAAGCCTGGAAATATAAACGGATACAAAAAGAGTGTTATAATCCTAGTTGCTAACTATTGCTTTGGGGGAAGGGAGGGCTATGGGGCTTGAACTAGGGGCCTGGGCATTGTCCCTGAGCTTCTCTGTGCTCAAGGTTAGCGCTCTACCACTTGAACCCCACAGCACTACTTCTAGTTTTTGAGTGGTTAATTGGAAATAGAGTCTTATGGGGACTTTCCTACCTGGGCTGGCTTTGAACTGCAAACGTCAGATCTCAGCCTCCTGAGTAGCTAGGATTACAGGCGTGAGCTACCAGCACCCAGATGAACTATTGCATTTATTGCCACGGGAAGAGGAGTAGCTTTAGAGCAGTGTAATGCAGCAACTTGAGAAGATTCTAAATTTAAAAACCCAATCACTACTATTATTATTTAAAATTTAGAATATTTCAACAGTAGTTGAAATACTGGAGAGAAAATTATTTTGGCTACTTTTTTTCCCTAAGAATAACTAATTATATACGTTCTTAGAACTGATCCCAAAAATAGATTACAGAAATTTAAAAGTGCTCTTTTTGATCAGTTTTTGGAATATTTGTAGGTTTAACATTTTCTCTTAAACGCACAGACTGTATAAAAAAATTGAAAATCTATTTGCTTACCTGATAGCATTAAAAAAAGAATGTGAGAAATAAAAGTTTTATATAACATGTAGAAAAAGTGAAGTTTAGCTGATGCCAGCTCAGACATGAAAGTGCCTGAGACTCTAATTAATCACCAGAAAACCAGAAGTGGCACTGTGGCTCAAGTGGTAGAGCACTCACCTTGAGCTGAAGAGCTCAGGGACAGCACCCAGGCCCAGAATTCAAGCGCTAGACTTATTAAGAAAAAAAGTGAAGTTTTTAACTCTTTTGTTTTCTATTCATTTTTATGTGATTTCAGTCTGAATCTAAACTTTATAATGGCTCAGAAAAGGAGAGTTCAACTTCAAGCAAACTCACAAAAAAAGAATCTCTTAAGGTTAGTGTCTATTGTTATTTCTAAGGAGAAACCTTGTATTTTGTGTGCTTTTGAAAGTATGTTTTTAGACATGTATATGTATGTGTTCCTTAGGAAATAAAAAGTTTCCCAGCTGCCAGTTGGACAAACACAATAGAAAATACTGATTTTCTTGTGGTCACAGATAAGACTGGTTGATGACTGTTCCAGAGCAGGCTGTTCCAGAGTTAACTGGCCACATCAGGGACTAAGGATTTGGTACCAGATTTTCACAGATAGACCAGAGCTGAGTAGACACATCACTGTGTTGTGAACAGCTGATGGGACACTGACACTCGGAAGATAGTTTCCAAACTGATTCTGTTAAGAAATATGTAGTATTTGCTATCTTCCTAAATGACTAGGGTCCTGGGGTTTGAGAAATGTGTGCACTGGCTCTAGGTCCTTGCCTAATCTGATGTACCCTTTTATGTTACATGTCCAATACTGTACCCATTTGCTTTCGTAATCCCATAGTAAATCTCTTAATTTAAATATGAATATTTTACAAGAGGGAAAGTCTATAAAGTTTACTTGATTATAACATTTTTATTATATGTATAGTCTATTTCCTCTAATGTGTTTTTCCGTAGAAATTTTGTGTTATCATTCATATATATATATATATATGTATATATATATATATATATATGTAGAGAGAGAGAGAGAGAGAGAGAGAAGCAGGTTTTAGGTATCAAGAAAAAGAACAGTACTTCTATTTGGATACTGTTGAGTTCCAGTCCCATTCTGGACCAAGAAAAAAAAAGAAGAGAAAAGTAAAGGAAGTATAAGGCCCAGAGTTCAAATTCTAGTACCACCACCAGGTTGGGGGTGGGAGGGGGAGCTGATCTTCCAAAACAACAACCCAAAATTAGACTGGAGGTATGATTCAAGTTGGTAGAGTTCCAGCCAATTTAGATAAGGCTTTGAGCTTAAACCTAATATTAGCTAAAAAAACAAATAAAAGCCCCTTAGAATGCAAGTAGATTTATGTCAGTAAGGGAATTTATTAGAAAAATTAGGTAGAATAACTTAGTGGTTAAGAGCATAGATTTGGGGACCAGTTTGAATTGTGTGTGATCCTAGACAGCTTATTCTTTTTTTTTTGGTCTGGTTATGGGGCCTGAACTCTGGGCTGGGCGCTGTCCCTCAGCTCTTCAGCTCAAGGCTAGCACTCTACCACTTGAGCCACAGCGCCACTTCCGGCTTTTTTCTTTTTGCTTATGTGGTGCTGAGGAATCGAACTCAGGGCCTCAGGCATGCAAGGCAAGCGCTCTACACTGAGCCACCTTCCCAGCCCCCTAGACAGCTTATTCTTTGCTTCAGTTTTTCATCCACAAAGTAAGATCCATAATAGTCTTACTTTAAAAGAGTCTTATGATGATTAAACACAGTAATTGTCATAAAGATACGGGCTTAGAACAATGTCAGATTCATAGAATCCATTATTAGCATTATTAGCTTTCATTATTTTATTCATGCCTAGTAATGCTGTGGAGTAGTTAAAAGGAAAAGGTAGACATATATACTTTCAAATGGGAACAAATTTATGTTTACCAAAAAACACAAGGCTGGGTTTAGTGCTTCATACCTTTAATCTAGTTACTAAGTTAGATACTGAGAGGATCACAGTTTAAGATCTGAACAAAAAGTTAGCAACACCTCATCTGAATGAGAAGGCTAAGCATGGTGGTTTGTATATTCTGTCATCTCAGCTACAGGGGAAATGTAAGTAGTACTGCTGTGTTTCAGACAGGCCTGAAGGTAGGGGGAAGTCTAAAAGTCTACCTGAGAAATAACAGAAAAGTTGAGGGTTTGTGGTTCATGTGTTTCAGCACCTACTGAACAAGAATGAGGCCCTGAGCTCAAACTGTAATTCTTCAAAAAAAACAAAGCAAAACAGAACAAAACAAAAAGCACAGAAGGTTATATACATAGAAACAGTCTGAAAAGATGTTTTCCAGAAGCATTATGTAATTAAAACAGAAAAAATTATTTTAAAAGCTACAAAGAACTGGACTAATAATTACAAAAACTATATTTTTTTATTTTGAAAAAAATCTGATTTATTTTCTGAATCAAAAAGAAATCTATCAGAGTTAAATTTCGAATATTTTACTTTCCATTGATCTTTCTAGATACAGTGCAGTTACTGTGCAGTTACTATCCAATACCACATTTTCTAAGAACTCCTTCACGGCATTGGTGATTCTAATTTAAACCAAAGAATTTAATCATCAGGAAAATCTAAGCAACAATGGGTTTTAAGAGTTAAAAACCAGATCTCTTTTAAAAACTGATTTTTTTTTTTTAAACTTCTGAGTGACTCCTGTCTGACAACTCCAACTGAATACAATATCTCCCAAATCCCAAACACATTATTTTACCTTTGAATGGTAAAACTACAAAATGGAATTTCTAAATCATTACACATATAAATACATCATTTTAATGTCAAAAAAATCTACATTTAAGGTACAAATAATGTTTTCAATGTTTTAAGAGTCCATCTCATTCTTTGTTGTTTTCTACCTTCATATTTTAAAATTATGATCAATTGCCAAGTCATTTCATTTATCTGCACTGAATAGTCCAGTAGGTATTGTTGGTCTACATATAACATGTGTCCTTTAAGAAGCCTAGGAATCAAAAGGTGGGGGATTTATGAGACATGATTTGTAATATATTTAACCTAGGTTTCCAAAGAATTTCACCCAGCTCTGAAACAGCCAACCAAATAAATTATAATTATTTTATCCTAAAATGCACACATTCTAAAGAAGTTTAGAATTTCATATTTTTCCTGAGTTTTAATTTTTTTCTATTTATGTAAATAGGTGCAAAAGAAAAATTACCGAGAAGAAAAGAAAAGAGCCACAAAAGAGTTGCTCAGTACAATCACAGATCCTTCAGTTATTGTTATGGCTGATTGGTTGAAGGTAAGTGTGTTAAAGCTTAAATTCTGATTGCTAGATGTTTACCCATTAGAATAGGAAAGCCCAGAGCGTACCTAAAGCCCACAAGAGTGGAACAACTCCTAGAATGATTGTTTCTCATTGCCATGGAAACTATTAATTATTCCCCAGAGATTCTATGATCTAACTTAATAGAGAAGTAGTATCAAATATATATGATAGTTATTTTAAGAAGACTTTAGTTTGTGTTATGTTGTTTAACACAGTTCATTGCTTATTACTCATTATCACTTAGTATTATTGAAGACTTGATTTAGGCATTGTTGAAGGAAAAGATAAAAAGTTTAAATTATCATTTGATAAGAATTATCAGACAAACACATGGTTTTTATTTTTATTTCCCGTTATCCAGTCAGTCTGTCATATTCTTTGATTCTAATCTGCAGAGGTAGCTAGTGGGAAGCTTTAAATAGTCCTTAAGAGTGAACTTGTAGGACTCTGACTTACAGAAAGTTTAAATACCTAGTATCTACCTAAGAATTTGAGCTCTGAGAATCAAAATCTGGAGCCAACTTAGGTAAAAAAATCTGAGAGACTCTCATCTCCTATTAGCCAACATTAGAAGCCAGAAATGGAAGTGTGGCTCAAATGGTAGGGCGCTGAGAGTAAAAGCTAAGTAAAAGCTGAGAATGAGAGGTCCTAAATTCAAGCCCCAGTGCTGACATAAAACATAAATTTTAAAAAAAGGAGTTAAGAAGATCTGTAGCCTTATGAGGATTGTCATGTGTTCTCATACTATGATGATGGTTGTTGTGTTAGTCACTTTTCTGGGGAGGAAGGAATGTTATTCTGAGAAAATAGCTGAGAAAACAACGAAGGAAAGATTTATTGTGGATCAGTTTCAGAGGTTTCATTCTATGGTCAGCTGGTCTTAACTACTTTTAGGCTCTTGGCAGGGCAGAAACATATAACAGAAAGACATGGTGGAGGAGAGATGAGAGAAAGAAGAATAGGGCCAGGATAACAGACATCTTTCCAAGGCATACCCACAGTAGCCATACTTCCTCCAAGTTGGCCCTACTTCTTACTAGGGCCTCCCAATTATGTTATCATATTATAAATCCATCAAGTTGTTGATTCGGTGGATTACATCAGTCTTTAGTAACTATTCACTTCCCAATCATTCATCAGCTTTCAGAGTTAATGAAGCAGATGTATCTTCAAGGGACATTTTAGATGGAAGCTGTAACAGTTACCCTGATGGTTCAAAGAAATGTTTGAACCATCTTCAGTCTTGTACTGAAAATAGCTTATGAATTATTTTGGCTCTAATTGGAAGTATACTTACTCCAGTTTTCACTTTTTTTCCCCAAGTCAAACCTACTTCTCTAAATCCCCAGCATATCTCTAGGTGGCTTTTTAAACCTTACTACACTTTGCCGAAATTTCCCAGAATGTTATCTCAGGATAATTCTTTTCCTTTTGTTTCTCTTGTCTTTCCATCTCTTTCATGTCTATGTATTATATGCAGTGTGTGTGTGTGTGTGTGTGTGTGTGTGTGTGTGTGTGTGTGTGTGTGTGTGTGTGTGTGTGTGTGTGTGTGTGCGTGTGTGCGCCAGTCCTGGTACTTGTGTGTGTGTGTGTGTGCATGCGTGCGCCAGTCCTGGTACTTGAACTCAGGGACTTGGTGCTGTCCCTGAACCTTTTGTGCTCAAGGCTAGTGTTCTACCACTTGAGCTACAGTTCCACTTCCTGCTTTTTGTGGCAGTTAATTAAAGTCTCATGGACTTTCTGTCTGGACTGGCTTCGAATCTCAATCCTCAGATCTCAGCCTCCTGTGTAGCTAAGATTACAGTCATGAGCCACAGATGTCCAATTGTAGGCATACCTTTTATTAAGATTTTTCTTGGGCTGGGAAGGTGGCTCAGTGGTAGAGCGCTTGCCTTGCATGCTTGAGGCTCTAGGTTCTATTCCTCAGCACCACATAAGCAAAAAGAAAAAAGCCGGAAGTGGCGCTGTGGCTCAAGTGGTAGAGTGCTAGCCTTGAGCTGAAGAGCTGAGGGACAGCGCCCAGGCTCAGAGTTCAGGCCCCATGACCGAACCCAAAAAAAAAAAAAATTTTATTTTTCTTTTTATACCTAGCTTCAAATAACTTGCTTTCTAAAATTTTTCTAACTAAGAAGTACTGTCATATGCCAGTAATAGGGTTTAGGAAATCTGTATATTTATTTTGCAATTAATGTAGTTTTATTAAGATATGTTAGAATAAAAGTAAGGATTATTTGTCTTTTAACATTAGCATCCTTTTCAGTATTGTAAATTCACTGAGTGGTCTAGTAATAACTTAAATAGGTTACAGAAATAGGAAGTGACAGAAAAAGTTTAGCTAGAGCCTTATTAACATGGCAGTATCCTAAGATGAGAAACATTTTTATGAAAAGTCATTTTCCTGAGGAGGTTCTTTCAAAGACTTTTCTACCATTTACGAAATATTTAGGGATAATCCAGTGTACCTTTGTATTTTTTAGCACTATTGATATGGTGGTAAGGGAGAAAATGTTACTACAATTGTAATAAACATTAAAAAATGAAGAAATACTATTCTGTGATGTCTCCTTACTTGGTAAGGAGTTAGGAAGACTATTCTATGTAGTGCACTATTTCAAAACTATTAGCCTAGTCCTTCACTAAGATTTTAAGTTTCTTAGAAACATGAGATGTCATTTTCACATCTACTTATAATGCTTGCCATGCAGTAGCTCTTTAAATAGCTCTTCTTCTGAAATGTAGCTCATACTTACCATTATACAGTTTATATCTTAAGGAGCATAAAGAGAAACTGATATTTATTTTTTTAATGTATATTTTGTAGATTCGTGGTACTCTGAAGAGCTGGACCAAGCTGTGGTGTGTGTTGAAACCTGGAGTGCTACTGATCTATAAAACCCAAAAAAATGGTCAGTGGGTTGGAACAGTCCTTCTGAATGCCTGTGAAATCATTGAGCGGCCATCAAAAAAGGATGGCTTTTGTTTCAAGCTTTTCCACCCTTTGGAGCAGTCTATTTGGGCAGTGAAGGTATGTTAAGTTCTTCAAAAGATGAAAAGTAAAGATGACTGAGTAAAACTGAGATAAACTAAATATTTTCTGTACTCTCCCAGGACTTATAAATTTGTTTCTTTTTTATTAATTTTTATTTTTTTATTGTGAAAATACTGTACAGAGGGGTTACAATTACATGGGTAAGATAATGAGTACATTTCTTATCAAGCATTGTAGCCTCCTCCTTTGTTTCCCCTATAAATTTGTTTCTTATAAATCTTGTTTCCTTTTCAAGGGCATCATTCATCTTTTTTTTTTTCTGTTTACAAGGACTTGTGCACCAAAAGCTTTGATTGCTTTTAACATCTAACTTAAACAATTTTATTTTGTATCTTTGGTCTTTGGGGATGAAATTTATGCCTTTTTTTTTTTTTCAATCTGTAATGACTAATTCTTTGTAACTTTTTTTTCTTCTCATCAGATAGTAAGGTCACCTGAAACAGAAGTTGCCTTTTTTGTTTTTTTTGGTTTTTTTTGTTTTGGCCTCTACTATCATGATGTGAACATGTGACAGGAAACCTAGAAGCGGAAGCAGTCTTCTTACTCTTGAGAGCCTTCTTTAAGATGGAGCTTTATGCTCTTTGTAGTTAAAAAATATTACTATGTCACTTCTGTACTATAAAACAGATAAGCAGGAAAATAGAAATGCCTCTGTTAATAAAAAATTAAATAATCATCAAATTCTATAAACAGTAGGCATGCAGCTATAATATTTTACTAAGTGACCATTGCATTAATTTCTGGACAGGTCAAAATCAACCTTGAGTTAAGAATTTAGAACTTTTCCCTTTTTTTTTTTTTTTTTTTTGTTGGTTGTGGGGCTTGAACTCTGGGCTTGGGTGCTATCCCTCAGCTCTTCAGCTCAAGGAGACCGCTCTACCACTTGAGCCACAGTGGCACTTGGCAGTCTTCTAGTGGTTTATTGGAGATAAGAGTTTCATGGATTTTCCTGCCTGGCCTAGCTTTGAACCGTGATCCTCAGATCTCAGTCTCCTGAGTAGCTAGGATTACAGGCGTGAGCCACTGGCATCTGGCTAGAATTTCTCCTTTAAGGAAATCTACCTAATTGGGATTAGGATTAACTAAAAGTAGCCGTGGCTTAAAGCAATATTTGTGTACTTAGGAAAATAGGTGAACTTAGTGTCTTTATTTCAGTAATCTAGAGTCCTTATAGGAATAGGTTTAGGATTACATAATTCATTCTATTCTGGGATTAGGTACCTTCTACAGGGAAAAGAATTCAGACCATATTTGGTATTTTAGGTGAAATTGGTTAGTCTTTATAACTCTGAGGAGAATATGATTTCCTTGCAATTACACATAGATAAACATTAATGACCAAAGAGGTTGTTTTAGTAATTTTTCTAATAAGGAACCAGGTTTGATTTTTGTGTTCTTTTTTATACTGTTCTAGGAACTGACCCATATATTACAAAGCCATGTGAAAATGAATAGGATACTATAGTATTTGTTAACCCTTACTGATTTTCTCTAACTTTATTATTTAGAATTTTCATATTTGGTACCTTATGTTTATACTTAATTGGAATCTATTTTTAATTTTACAGTATATATAGTATTTTGTGGTGCTGGTGTCTGAATGCAGGGCTTTTTGCTTGCTAAGCTGGCACTCTACTACTTGAGCCACTTCCCCAGTTCCCCGTTTCATTTGTTAACCTGAAAACCATAACGAACCTTTGTAGAACAACTTTTTTTTTTTGTCAGTTGTGAGGCTTGAACTTGGCCTGGGCACTGTCCCTCAGCTCTTTGACTCAAGGCTAGCACTCTACCTCTTGAGCCATAGCACCACTTACGGCTTTTTCTGTTTATGTGGTGCTGAGGAATCGAACCTATGGTCTCATGCATGTGAGACAAGCACTTTACCATTGAGCCACCTTCCCAGCCCTGTAGAACAACTTTTAAAAGTCTGTTTATGCATCAATATTAAACTGTAAATTTAATGCTTATTTTTCTTTCACATAAGAACTCTATCTGCCTAAGATAAAACTTGGGGATTACATGTTTATATTAAATACTTTTAAAACATCTCTAGCTATCAGTAAAATTCCTTTGTTTTGCTTTTTTTAAGAAAAAAATTAGTTGTATAGTTGTTCTTTTAAAAAATGTATACCATTAATTATAAAACAAAGATTTACTTTTTCCTAGACTCAGTCAAAACTTAATTCTCTTTTTCTTGTTTAATTTCCACCTATTTTTTTTGGATTTAGATAAATTTAGTACTTATCTAGTAGTATTTTTGTAAATTCTCATTAAAGAGTATAATATGCTAAAGTTTTTGTTTTCTTTAGTATGTGAACAATATGTAGAAATAGTATCTAATAATAACTATTATTTGTTCGGTTTTCTGTTAAGAAGGTATATTTGTTGAAAAAGAGCATTTGTTAATACTTAGCATTTGCATTCTCAAGAAGGATGAAGTTAGAGCTTATTGCTTTTCCATTAGTATCCATGTCTGATATGACTGACAGTGTGATCCAGGTAACAGTGGCAAAAAACGTTGGGATTTCATGATACTTACTCTGTACCATTTATTTTTTTATTAAGGGTCCTAAAGGTGAAGCAGTTGGATCCATAACTCAGCCCTTACCTAGCAGTTATTTGATCATCCGAGCTACTTCAGAATCAGATGGTAAATACATTGTTGGATTGTTTTTCATTTTGAGGGTTTATCTATCACTTTGTGTTATCCTTGAAGGGATTCTTTTCTCTTACTTTTTGATGTTACTTGCTCGGCTGACACTCTACCACTTGAGACACACTTTGATCCTGGCTGTTTGTTAGTTATTCTGGGGATGATCTTGGGATTTTTTTTCTGCCCAGTATGACTATTAACCACTGTTTTCTAGATCTCAGTCTCCTTAGGTAGCTAAGATTACAGATGTGAGCTACCAAAACCTAGAGTAGTTCTCATCTTGGTATAACACTTGCAGCAGGAACAGTATAATCAAAAACTGTGTAACCATAAACAGTATAATCATAAACTGCTTAGTGGAGGTAATTCTAATAGTGTAACTCCTTTAAACAATTAGCTGACAATTTAAGAAAATGAATACTAGGAAGCTGAAACATGTTTGTCTGTGGAGAAGGGGAAGACACTAGAGAGGAATGGTGGGCAGATAGTCATAATATACAATGTACATATATGAAAAGAGAGCCATATAACTTGGGAGAATAGGTGAGGTCTATCCCAAGATAGACAGGGGGCAATGATAGAAGGGGTGCCATTGATCAAAATGTGTATACTTATAAATTGATTGGTTGACTTGAAATCCCTTTGTGCAAGTACTTAAGGATAATTTTTTTAATAAACTGTTTAAAACACTACACACATTAATTTGATAGACAAATTTGACAGAGAGCATTGTATAATTGTATAATTGAGCAATACATTGACAACTCAGTTTTCCTCTTTGTCCTCTGTTGATATATTGATGCCTTTTAAACTTTTTTTAGTGTTCTTTATGGTAGCTCATTAACTTTGATAATTTTTTATAGATTTAACTCATTGTTCACTCATTGTTTATCATTAAAAGTTAACATTTGTGGGCTGGGAAGGTGGCTCAGTGGTAGAGCGCTTGCCTTGCATGCATGAGGCCCTGGGTTCAATTCCTCAGCACCACATAAGCAGAAAATAAAAAAGCCGGAAGTGGCACTGTGGCTCAAGTGGTAGAGCTAGAGCGCTAGCCTTAGGCTGAAGAGCTGAGGGACAGCACTCAGGCCCCACGACCGGACCCAAAAAACAAAACAAAACAAAAAAAAAAAAGTTAACATTTGTGAGATATATACTATTTTGGTTTTATTTTACATAAGAAAACATTAAAGTACAAAATCCTTTATTCTACACTCATCAACTTGTTACCTAATTTATGAGGCAAATATGGAGAAAACAAAACATTTACATGGAGGGGCTGAAAAGGTGGCTCAGTGGTAGAGCGCTTGCCTTGCATGCCTGAGGCCCTGGGTCCAATTCCTCAGCACCACATAAGCAAAAAGAAAAAAGCTGGAAGTGGCGCTGTGGCTCAAGTGGTAGAGCGCTAGCCTTGAGCTGAAAAGCTGAGGGACAGCGCCCAGGCCCAGAGTTCAGACCCCACAACCGGACTCCCCCCCAAAAAAAATTTTACATGGAGGCAAAATAACTTTAAAACTTTAATAATTGATAATAGATTTTTTTCTTTACTTTCATAGTTTAGATTAGATTGATGTAGGGAATCTTATAAACTTCTAAAGTTGACTTTTACTAGATGATTTTTTTTAATTTGGCATACATTGTTGTACAAGGGAAATTTCCCTATATGTACAGTGTATCCCAATCAAATCTTCCCTCTCTGTCCCTCTTCCCAATCCTTTCCCACTTCATAAAAAAATTCAGCAGTTTAATTGTTCTGTTTTCATATATATACAAATAAACTATATGGACTGTATCCTTCCCATTCACTCCCTTAATTAGCCCTCCACTTCCTACTGGTGCCCACTCTGAGTTGGTCATAGAATTATTTTTAAACTGAATATAGGCATGAATGTTCACTATGAAAATGTTTTACATGGCTGGTATTCCATTACATCTTTAAATATATAATGAATTTTAAGAGCATTTAAGTACCTGTGAACATATTTCTGCTAAAGTCTAGTTTGAATATCACAAATATGGCAGTGAATAATGGCATTATACAAGCATTTTCTTGACTTAAATTTTTTCGTATTAAGTGAAATAATGGAGATTCAGACAAGTATCACCTGTTTTCTCTGCATAGAATGCAGAGAATGAACAAAAATAGAAGAGAGCTGTTAGAGAAGTGGAAAAGAACCAGGGCAAGCAATGTTAATGTGGGGAGAGGGAGGTTGATAAGATCAAAATATGTTAAATTTAAGTATTAATGCTAAAATCATTCAGAATGGGGGGTAAGCCTGGGTATAGATATAGTAGATACATAACCACTTTAGTATATTTTATGTATTTTGCTTGATAACCTTTAAAATACACTGAATATCAATGTTTACAGTTTGGAAAATAACATTAACTTATATTATGTATAATTTGCTAATCTGTGTTGTATATTATTCATTTATCTGTAGTTTCTAACTGCTTAGCAAGACTGTATTCAAATTAACTTGTCCAATATATATTTTTCAAGGAAGTAATAATAAATTTAATAATTTTAGTAAATTATTGTTATTATTTAATTAATTCAATACTTTTCATAAATTAAAATTAATGATAATTTCATAGATTTTCTTCTATTTACTATATGTTCTTCTAGGAAGATGCTGGATGGATGCTTTGGAATTGGCTTTAAAATGTTCTAGTCTTCTTAAACGTACAATGATCAGGGAAGGAAAGGAACATGACCTGAGCATTTCATCAGATAACACACATGTAACTTTGTATGGCTTATTACGTGCTAACAATCTCCACAGTGGTGACAACTTCCAGTAAGTAGATACTTTATTAATATAGTAATGATTTCAGAGATCATGTTGTTCACTAGGTTAGGTATCAGTCCTCTTACCTTACTAATGTATATAGTATTGAAATTGAAGCATTCAAAATTTGTTGATCTGATATGATCAGGTACAAGAACTTATTTCTTTTGTTCTATGCAAATGTGTATTGCCTTTTCATTCCCAAGTCAGCTATGCTGTCTACCTTGTCTTTGTTCATATTGTGTCTCCATTAAGAATATTTCTACTCCTTTTTTCTTTTCTCTTGTCATAATTATATGTTTATTTTAAGGTCACATCATATGTGAACCTTTTTCTGCCGAATAATTATAAGATGTCTTTATTATCTGTCTTTCTCGTGGTATTTTTTGTCACATTTTTCTGTAGTAGCACTGGACTTTGGTTTTTGTAATGTTGTGGCTGTTGTAGAATTCTCATATAATTGTTATTTTGAATTAAAATATTATCCAACATATGATTTTATCCTCTGAATCACTCGTTATAGTTAGGATTTAAAATACTATTTCTCTTCCTCCATTTCTCAGCTTCTCTGCAACCATTTAATTCTTCACCTTTAAAAGTTAGTGTATTACTCTGTGTCTGAGCTGAACATTTTTTTTTAACCTATCCTTTTGATCAACACTACTTTTTAAGAAGCAGTGTTTAAAAATCTCTTATTACCTGACTTTTTACATGTTTTCTTTGCAGACATATGAGCTGGAGGTTTATCTTAATCCCAGATATCTGGACCCTAAGTAGAATAAGACAAGAGTGGGATAGGGAAACTGATATAGAAATGGATATTTGTTAGTACCTTTTCACAAAATTACCCATCTTTTTATAGATTAATTACCCCAGTTACTTTATAAAAATAGAATGAGTATAGAAGACTTTTATCATTTTTAGGCTATAGACTTTTTTAAATTTTAGCAAGAATATATTTCAGTATTACAGGGTTAAAGTAGATGAAAATAGAGAAACCCATGCAGGAAATGGGGGTTAAAGACTTCTAGACTTATTTTATTCAACTGAAAATATTACGTCCAGTTCTCCCTGGAACATACTTCTCATGATGAAACCTTCCCAAAAAAATGTTAAATAAAATGTAATGTAAGTGCTTCTCTTTTCCACTTTTCACATTTTTATTTATTTTTATTTTTTGTGCTGGTCGTGGAGCTTGAACTCAGGACCTGGGTGCTGTCCTTGAGCTTTTTGGCTCTGAAAGCTAGTACTCTACCACTTGAACCACAGCTCTACTTCCAGCTTTTGGGAGGTTAAATAGAGGTAGAGTCTAACAAACTTCGCTGCATGGGATGATTTCAAACTGTGATACTCAGTTCTGAGCCTTCTGAGTAGCAAAGATTATGGTTATGAGCCAATGAAACCTACTTCTTTCCCACTTTTTAAATTTGATGTTTATTACTTATTTTTTAATGACTTTGGCAACCTTTGAAGGAAGAAAGTCATAATTCATTTGAATTTACTTGAGAACCTAATACTCTTCTTTTCCTCTTTTTTTAAATTTTGAGACAGAGTCTTACCATATAGCCTCAACTAGCCCTGAATTCACACTTCTCCTGCCTCAGTCTCTCTTATTAAAATTATAGCCATGTGTCACCATGCCCAGAAAACCTAGTAACTTAACATCTGCTTGAACTCCGGGCCTGGATGCTATACCTGATTCCTTTTGTTTATGGCTAACCTGAGCCATAGTGCCAATTCCAGCTTTTTTTTTTTTTTTTTTTTTTGGGTCCGGTCGTGGGGCCTGAACTCTGGGCCTGGGCACTGTCCCTTAGCTCTTCAGCTCAATGCTAGCACGCTACCACTTGAGCCATAGCACCACTTCTGGTTTTTTTTTTTTTGTTTTTTGTTTTCTGCTTATGTGGTGCTGAGGAATCAAACCCAAGGCTTCATGCATGCAAGGCAAGCGCTCTACCACTGAGCCACCTTCTCAGCCCGCCACTTCCAGCTTTTTATGTGGTTAATTATAGATAAGATTCTCATGGACTTTGCTGCCTGGGCTGCCTTCACTGTGATCCTAATATCTTAGCCTCCTGAATATCTAGGATTACAGACGTGAGCTTCTGGTGCCCATGCCCAGCCTTTTTTTTTTTTTTCTCTTGACCACAAGTAGCAGTGATTTTGTTTCAAGCAGTATTGTTTGTAAAACTAAGGGGAAAAGTCTAATGAGGGGTAGTCTAAAATTTGTTTTAAGAAGATCTTAACCCAAAAGCCAAGAGGCAGAGAGCTTAGATACATCTTTTAATATTTCCCAAGGTTTTTATGTAACATATGCCTTTATTTACTAATCTGTAAAATAATAATTTTACCTATCTCATAGGGTAATTTTGAAGATTAAATGAGTTAAACCATATAAAACCCTTCTAGAACAATGCTTTCATTTTCATCACATCTTATTCTCTTAAGATTAAATGATAGTGAAATTGATCGACAGCATTTTAAGGACCAAGATATGTATTCTGATAAATCTGATAAAGAAAATGATCAGGAGCATGACGAGTCAGACAATGAGGTACTGGGAAAAAGTGAAGAAAGTGACACAGATACATCAGAAAGACAAGATGACTCATATATTGAACCTGAACCAGTTGAACCTTTGAAGGAGACCACCTACACTGAACAGAGCCATGAAGAACTTGGAGAGGTAAGTCTATTTTCAGAAATTCTGGTTTTCTGATTCCTGAAAATTTAATAATGAGGTTATAGAGATCTGCTTTTTTTATCTTCTTGAACACTTATATAATATGCTTATTTCAAAAGGTGCATATATATGAAGTAAAACAGGATTTATAAACAACTAAACAGATACACTTTCACAAATGACAATGTAGTCTATTAAATTTAAAGTTTATATTCCCTTCAAGTTTAGTTTTGAAATATAGGACTGTTCAGTGTTGCTGGATACAAATGTTGCTCAATCGTTGCTGGATGCAAAGTAAATTGCAAGGGAACTTGAGTTTGTAATTTTTATATTCTTACCAAGGCGCATAAAAGTAGATGTAGTGTGGAATAATTGTTTTTGTATTGGATCTTTTATGAATATTACTCTTATTGCTCCTTTTTTACCTAAGTTTTATAGCTATAGAGTTTATATATAGAGGGTTATTTGCATATTTTAGAATGCTTGAAATAGACCTGGAAATAATTCATGCTTTCAGTTGTTTATATGCCTGAAATAAATATATTTCACTGTGTTTTGTTAATTGCTAAAGGCAGGTGAAGCTTCTCAAACAGAAACTGTGTCTGAAGAAAATAAAAGCCTTATCTGGACACTGTTAAAACAAGTTCGCCCTGGCATGGACCTGTCCAGGGTTGTTCTGCCTACATTTATTTTGGAACCTCGCTCTTTCCTGGATAAACTTTCAGATTACTACTATCATGCAGATTTCCTGTCTGAGTAAGTATATTTTTATTCCCTAAAATAGAAGAATCAATTTTAGATTCTCAATTCATAATTTCAGATTCTCAAGAGTGCTACTTTTCAACCATTATGCCTTTCCAAAATCATGCAGTGTGTGGCGACATGTCTTGTGTCACTTCTGTAGTACACTTTAAGAACATACTTAAAGCCTTCTTGCAGTGTGGTCACTGCCTTCTAGACTTGCTCACTAATCTAACACAATGAGAGGGAATTGGTATTGTTCTTCTGAAACAAAGCCCATCTGCAGGTCCCATTCTTGGGCTTTTGTTTGTTTGTCTCTACATGTTTCTGAGACCTATGCAACTTGCTACAACCAAATGGCCTTACAGTTGCTGGCTTTTGACATGAATATTTTTTTGTTAGCTTTGCTTTTCATCTAAAGAAGGCAGGGGAAGAAATGTTTATTTCTCTTCCAAGAGATTTTTGTAAAATCATAAACTTTGCAATGAGTAGCTATTTTGTGCACGCCTTTCCATATGATACCTGCTGAACCTATTCTAGCAAGTTATGATGTTTGAAGGTGTTGTATTTTCTATGGTATTGAGTTCTGGCTCTGTGACTTGATTTTTAAAATCACTATTTCGTTGTTTTTATTAACTACAACATCAGTGAACAGAGCAGGAAAACAAATCCTAACTGGAATAAAAAGATAATAAATTGTGGAAAATTTTTACAACTTAAGTTATAGACATTGTTAACCTCCCTAAAATAAAGCAACTTACTAGAAATTTAATGAAAATATTCAACCTGTAGAAAAAACAGGGGAAGAAATGATGAAGCATTTAAAAAAATGAAGAAATAGAAATAGTTCATAAACATGTAAGCCTTCTTCAAAATGAGAAAACACAGATTCAAACTAAAGCAAGATAGTTCATACTATCTTGGGTTCATACACCCTCATGACAAAAAACTCATCCACCCTAATGACAAAAAATTCAAAAGCTTTTTATATACTAGTTCTGCTGTCTTCTATAGATATTTATCCTTCCTATCTAGAAATTAATTTTTCTCAAACTATAAGCAAGTTTCTGTGAATCATATTATGATCTTCTTAAGGAACACCCATTTTCATGAATAAAAAGGTTGTACTTTACCAGGAATGAGAGGACACCTCTGTAATCCAACAATTTGGGAATGAAACAGAAGAGTCACAAGTTCATGGCCAACCTGGGAAGTATAACAGATCCTGTCTCAAAAGGAAAGGAAGAGAATGAGGAAGAGAGGGAAAGCCAGGGAAGCAGAAAGGAAGAGAAGGGAGGAGAGAGGAGGAATCAATGTAAAGTTGCATTTTGCTGCCAACATACACTCTTGCCAAGGCTCTGTGAGCCTGTAAGCATTCTCATCCATCCCAGGACTCCTACAAACTAGCACAGTACTTTTGAAGAGAATCTGGTATATTTGACAAATTATAAATACATTAATCCTTTGATGTAGTAATCCTGCTTACATAGCTCCCACATATCCTAGAAGACAAATTCAAACTTGTTGCCTTGGGTTTGTAATAGTGAAACAGATTTAGCTTAAATGTCCAACCATAGTTGTCTGGTTAAATAATGCATGGTACATCCACGTTTATAAGGAAGAACTCATACAGAAGGCCCTCTGGGAAAAAATGAGGTACAGGAGAGTACATTTTGTTTGCTTACTCCCATATCCCCTTTTAAGTAAAACAAGGTGATTTCTATTTGCTCATTCATGCTAAAGAAACCTTTAAAAGACCCTTCAACCAAACTGTCCTTTAGAAGACAAATAGAAACAGTGTGGATAGAACAGTATTTTATACTACTTACTGTATTATTCAATTGAGGATATGTACTGAAGACATTCTCTTCATATTGCTTTGACTTTTGACCTATACTCATGGAAAATTTAAAATAAAACTGCATAGTAAGAATTTAAGCCAAATAGGAATCGTCCAGAGACAGGGACAGTGTACCAAAAAACAGAAAAAATTAGGGATGGGTAGAAAGTAATTCAGATTAAGAAAAATCTGTTACAAGTTATGTTTTCCAGTCATAGTATATTGAGTTTATGGTTTTAAATGTTAGAATTTATACAATATCCTATACATATTTTGGGTTTATTATTTTGTATTTTAGGGCTGCTCTTGAAGAAAATCCTTATTTCCGTTTAAAGAAAGTAGTAAAATGGTATTTGTCAGGATTCTACAAAAAGCCAAAGGTAATGCTTTGTTCAGCTTTTTATAAGTTCCTTATTTTTGTGTGTAAAGTTTAGATTATTTATTTATAATTACTACCAAAATTCCAAAATGCTTGATTCTGATTGTAATATATTATATTCTGATGGAAGTCATATTTTTTCATGTAGATTTTATTTATTACAACATTTTCTAAAGGGATCTTTTTATGTGATACAGTTAAATTTGTTTTGGCTAGTCCAAACTGTTTTGATTTTTCTTTCCTTATAATTTGAAACCTGAATGTTTTTTATTTAGGGACTAAAGAAACCTTATAATCCTATCCTTGGTGAGACTTTCCGTTGTTTATGGATTCATCCACGAACAAGCAGCAAAACGTTTTATATTGCTGAACAGGTATTAGAAATGCATGTTATAAAAACAAAACTAATCTGGTAGTTGCTGACATATTTTTACGAAAACATTAATTCAGTAAATTCACTGTTGTTTAGCCTTTCTGATTAGTGAATGTTTTTGGTGGGCATATAGCCGTATAGTACTAAATACTACTAAATATCAGGAAGTGGCGCTATAGCTCAAGTGGTAGAGCGCTAGCCTTGAGCTGAAGAGCTGAGGGACAGCGCCCAGGCCCAGAGTTCAAGCCCCATGACCGACAAAAAGAAAAAAGAAAATAGAAACTACTAAATATCATTCTCCTAAGTAGTACTCTTGCACTCATGAAATTCTTTAATGAAAAATAAATCTTTACTTTTCCTCCTCTACCTCCTCATCTACCTTTTGTTTGTTTATGATCATTCTCAAAATTCTCCAATAGTTCTTCAACCCCTAAGTCAGATGTACACCCATTTCTCTGACATTCAAAGTCTTACAGTTTTCTTCCAAATTGATCTCAAATGAAAGACTTTTCTTGGTAGTCATACCTATGCATTCACAAATAGGTAACCTGATTGTACAGTCTCTTGCCTCATTTTTTTTTGTTTTTGTATCGTATTGGGATTTGAACTCAAGGCCTTGTGCTCATGCTTGACTTTTGTAACTGGCCCTTCACTATTTGATCCACAGCTCTATATCTGGCTTTTTGCTGGTTGATTTAAGAGTCTCATGAGCTTTCCTGCCCCAGGCTGGCTTCAAATTGCAGTTCTCAGATCTTAGTCTCCTGAGTGGCTAAGATTACAGCATGAGCTACCAGTGCTCAACTCTATAGCCTCATTATTTTAAAACTTAATTTTCCATCCAGTATTTTTCATTCATTCTTCATCTGAACAACCCGACTGCATGTTCTTTAATATCCAAATAATTGCAGCTCCCAGTGGTTTGTTTTCCTTCCTAAACATCAGTATTATTTTTGTGATTACCCATTCATTAAGCTGTTAATTTAACACTTATGTTACTCACTTTATTAAAGGATGTTTATTTCTCTAATTCAGAGAAAGATAAAGTTGTATACATCTATTCCTCAAAGACACATCTTTTTTATTGTACACATAGTAGACAGTCAGAAAATATTTCTTAATTTCTGAACTTTCATTAAATGTATAAACATCTGTTTCCACGATTCTCCATTTTCTCCTTTATCTGCACAAACCTGGGGAATATGGTATTCTTTCCCAATAACAAATGACTATTTCAATAATTCTGACCTTTAAAATTTTTTTTCTTCTTCTGGAGATTTTATTATACTATTGAACTATTTTGGTTTTTAAGACATTTTAGATCCCTTTAATTCTTCAAAAATTGAAGAGTTTAAGAATTTTAGCTTTAAAAGCTAAAATGATTAGCTTTGAAAGAAACCTAAGTTGTAAACAAAAATACCATCTCACAAAATACATTATGTTCATTAAGCCATATGATGAATAACTAAGAATATCAGTTATATACTGGTATGTAGTTCATTGCTAAAACTGAGTTAAAGTCACATTATCTCATATATTCAGGCTCACGAATCTGAATGCTCTCTAACAATGATTCTGGGTCAGGTTCTAATGCAGTTAGCACAGTTATCTGCAGACTTGAGTGGCTAGAAAATTCACTTCCAAGCTTATCCTACGCTGTTATAAAAGATAATTCACTTCCTCAATACATGAGCCTTAAGTAGTATTTTTTTCACCACATAGAGAGACTGGTTCTCAGAGCTTAAGGTGGGACCGGAAGTGAGGGGTAGCAAATGACCAAGGGAACCCCCAAAAGATGAAAGCTATATTGAAAAGTAATAAGTGATATAGTATCATTTCTGTACAAACTATCTGGTTCATTATATACTATAGGCATAAATATTTTATTTTGTTGTCAGATGCTGCTTATTTGTATAATACTTGAAATTTTGATACTAGCATAACAATATTCTCATACCATTACATTTTCTGTTTTCTACTGTGTTCAATAGGTGTCTCATCATCCACCAATATCTGCCTTTTATGTTAGTAACAGAAAAGATGGCTTTTGTCTCAGTGGTAGTATCCTGGCTAAGTCCAAATTCTATGGTGAGTTTCCCTCTGTCCTAACTTGCACTCTTCCCATAGAGGTAGCATTTTCTGGTTTTTATTTACAACTAAGATAAGCAGTATTTGTTTTTAGCAAGGAATTTATGTCACTTTTAATATCATGTTTATTTGAATAATGAGTTTTTTTTCTCCCACTTATAAATAGAAGCATGACCATTTCATATAATTTTAAATGTGAGAACAAATGAATCTAAGACTGAAATAGGAAAAATAAAAGATCTGGCTACCTGAGAGGGCATAGAACCACAGATAATTCTGTGTCAGGAAAATATGAAAGTGGTCTTTCATTAGGAACATGGTGTAAATCTTTATATTTTCAAGATGTCTTATTTCTTTTGGCTCAGGTTTGGGTTTTGCTTTGTTTGGTTTACTTAGTGTTTGCTTCTTCTAAGTGTTACATGTATTTCATATCAGATTATAAGATTTTTTTCCTTATTGGATTATTCCTTTCCTTCAGTCCTCCTCTCTACTCTGGCTATAATGTATACAGCTTTTATAAGCATGTGTTCTACTCTTGTAGAATATTTTTAACTAAGTTTCTTATTGTGAAAATATTATAAACAGGGGTTACAATTACATGAGCAAGGTAATGAGTACATAGAATTTTTATTTTTAGCTTTGAAAGAAACCTAAGATGTAAACAAAAATACCATCTCACAAAGTATGTTATGTTCACTAAGCCATATGGTGAATAACTAAGAATATCAGTTATATACTGGCCATACTGAGGTTTTCACTCAGGGTCTTAATCTTGCTAGACTGATGTTTTGCTACTTGAGCCATGCCTTCAGCTCTGCATTTCTTCTGGTTATTTTGGAGATGGAGTCTAGCAAACTTTCTGCCTGGACTAACCTTAATTCCTAATCCTCTAAAATTTATTCTCCTAATATTATAATGTGATAGCTAATATTATAGATGTGAGCCAACTAGAAAATTTTATTTATTGAGTACCAATAAATGAATGCCTCACATTCTGGTATTGCTCTAGATGTTGGTGTTTCTCTCTCTCTCTCTCTCTCTCTCTTGCTCACTCGCTCTCTCTCTATATATATATATTTTAAGTACTTATACAAAGAAGTTGTCATTCAGCAGAGTAGTTCTTGAATACACTGCCTTTTGATCATTGTCACCTTTTCAGCGTTCTCACCCATCCTTCCCAACTCACCCCTTCCCTTACTTTTCTTAATTTTTTAGGGTATGTATTGAAATTTTTTTGCCATTTAACAAAGCAGTTTATGTATTAGTGCATCTTGATCTGTATCATCCCTTTAAAATTTTCACCCCCTTCCCTTATTTTTCTTCATTTTGTGATATATACAATGAATTCTTGTCTGTATTCTCCCCCTTCCCCTCCTTCACGTGTTTACCCTCCTCCCCTTGGCTTCCCCTCTCTTCTTGCAAGTGCCCATTTCCTGGTATTTATTTTGTTGGGCTTTGTCTTAGTCTTTCTAAAGAATTATACTATTTGAGCTCTCCATAGAGCATATTACTCTTCAGTTAATTCATTTGTAAAACTGCTTGCATACTGCCTACCCAGTGTGTTTACTTATAGATTAATAGGCACATTCTAGCTACCATAAAAGAGGGAAAGCACACAACCTGTTCTCTGGCTTACTTCACTAGGTATAATTTTTCCAGGTCTTTTCATTTCCTTCTTTCTGATAGATGAGTGGAATTCCGTTGTGTATATAAGTCACATTTTCTTGTTCTATTTGTCCATTGAGGGGCATCTGGGCATCTTGGGTATGGTAAATAGTGCTGCAATGGACATGATTGTGCTTATGACTTTATCATAGACTTCTTTGTGCTCTATTGGATAAATGCCCAGGAGTGGAATTGTTGGATCATAGTTTAGTTTAGTTTTTTGAAGAACGTCCATACTCCTTTCCAGAGTTGTTGAACATGCTCAAGTTCCTACCAACAATATAATGGAGTTCCCTTTTGGACACATCCTTGCCAGCATTTGTTATTATTAGTTTTTTTGATAATGGCCATTCTAACTGGGGTGAGGTGGAATCTCAATGTTGCTTTGATTTACATTTCCTTTATGGCCAGAGTTGTTGAACATTTCTTCATGGCCATTCTTACTTATTCTTCTGAGAAGTCTCTCTTTAAGTTATTAGCCCATTTATTAATTGGGTTTTTGTGAGTATATTCTGGATAGTAGGCCCTTGTCTGATATATAGCTGGTAAAAATCTCTTCCCATTCTGTGGACTTGTTTTTTAACTTGTTAACTATCTCCTTTGCTGTGTAGAAACTTACAAGTTTGATGCAATCCCATTTATCAATGTTTCTTTGATTTGTTGTGTTTCAGGGTCTAGTTTCTACCCTTGCCCAGCCCTTGCTAGCATTCTTTTTCCTATGTTAGAATGCAGTTAATTTATATATGTCAGAGTTAGTTATCTGTTCTTTTATAATTTGAAAGAAATCCAGCCATTGCAAGAGTTCTTTTTATATTTTTGAAGTAACTTCCTTATTTTTTCTTTGGTTAAAGGGTTCCTTATATTGAAACCTCTTGTTAGGTGAGTTTGAGTAGTTTATTTTGATCTAGGAATGATTTTATTTTCTTAGGTCTAAGTTTAATTTGAATATATCTGAGGTGATTATATATCACCTAATAAGTTATGTATCAGACAAATCCATGATGTGATCTTAAGGAATAAAGAGTGTAATGGTAGCAGAGGCTGGCATTGTTTGAGGGCATGGGAAGGTATGGTCAACAAATACAAATAAGAACAAGTTTGAGAGCTTTCTTGCAGACAGACTTTTTTAGGGTGACCTATTTTGGAAATGATGAGAGTGGATGTTCTGTTTTAACTACAAAAATGGTAACTTTGAGTTAATATAGCTGTTAAGAAGCTGGATTGAACCAGCATATCATTATCATTATATCTGTGGGTTTTAGTTAATTAATCTGGAAGAATTTCTTTGGGTTTTTTTTTTTTAAAAGAAGTCTTTCTCTTGACATTTTACAATGATATATCAACTATCCCTTTACCTCTTGCTTTTATTGTTGTGGTTAGAAAACTTCTTACTTTAGCTTAGGTAATTACTTACATGTTTGTTCTATACTTTTATGCTGGTCTTGCTTCTTAAATTGCCTGGTATTTATTTCCACGTATACAAAATGCATATAGAATGAAATAACTTTCTTTTATCAAAAGCCAACTAACTTCCCCTTCGAAAATCACCACTGATTTTCAGTCATTATTTTCCACTTTAATGACTACCTTTTCTGATCTGTTGCCCTGTTTTTTTTTTTTCACACTGCTATTCTATACTATAAACACCATTTGCTTTCAAGTGCCTATCTATTATTCTAGAGTAGCTAAAACGTAAGTATTCAACCACTTCTCTGTGTGTTGAAAACTATATTCTTATTTAGAACTGCTCATATTTTTCAAGTGTCATTATATGAACCTTCAATTTCAGAATCAGAGTATTAGTTAACATTTTAAAACATTGAACTGATTTTGACTTAATACGTCAGAAATTAATGAGCGCTAAAGCATACATTTTTACAATCACTTGAGTTGATTCTATTGTACATTAATATTTAACATAGTTTATGACATAGTGTTAAGGCAAAGCAGAATGAAAATAACACATGCATTTTGGTCAGCTCAGCTTTAAAACAGTCTAGGCTCCATATCTTAGCTATGTTAAATAATGAACATAGTTGTGCTGGTAGCTTTAGTATGGTCTTGTGACCATTGGGGTAAATGCCCAAAAGTGGGATTGCTGGGGCAGAGGGGAGCTCTATGTGGAGTCTTTTGAAGATCCTCCTTTCTACTTTCCAAAGTGGCTGAACAAGTTTACACTCCCACAGTAACAATGCAGTAGGATTCCCTTCTGTCCACATCCCCTCCAGCATCTGTTGTTATTAGAGTTCTTGATTATAGCCCTTCTAACTGGGGTGAGGTGGAATCTCAATGTTGTTTTGATTTGCATTTCTTTTATGGCTAGAGAGGTTGAGCATTTCTTCATGTGTCTATTGGCCATCCTTCTTTCCTATTCAGAGAAGTTTCTCTTTAAGTGGGCTAAAGCCCACTTATTTATGAGGCAGTTGTATCTTTGAGGATAAGTTGTTGGGGGATTTAATTTTTTGAATTCCAGGTATATTTTAGATATGAGACCCTTGTCTGTAGTATGGCTAATGAAGACCTTCTCCCAATCTGTGGGATTTCTATTGATCTTGCTAGCTATGTCCTTTGCCATGCAGAAGCTCTGCAGCTTCATAAATCCCATTTGTCCAACCTTTCTTTGATTTGTTGTGTTTCTGAATCTCTATTAAGAAAGTAAGGTACCATGTGATTTTTGTTTTTGTTTTTGTTGCTTTGTATGTCCGTTCCCCATGGTATAACTCCTGTTTTCACTGTATTTGATGTTGGTATAATTTGGGGAAGGGAAGGGGAAAAACAAAATGTTTAAAAAGGGATACAGATTGACCCATTGCAACAATGAGATGTACAAGACGTTATGTAGAAAAACAAACTTTACTATTTAGGCGGGGGTGAGGGAGTGGTATAGTTGAGAGGTTAGGAGGGTCAGGATGATAGGGGAAAAAACAAAGGAGGAGGCAACAATGCTGGATAAGAAATGTACTCATGTAACTGTAACCCCTCTGTACAGTATTTTCACAGTAAAAAACTTATTTAAAAAATAATATAAATAAATAAAAGTCTAGGCTGGCCTGGGAAAAATGCAAGACTCTACACAAAAGACCTGGGATATGACTCATGTGTAGAGTGCCCTCATAGTTAAGCACAAGGCCCTAAATTCAAATTATATAGTACCACCAAAGTAAATTTGCAAAAGATGGCAAGTATCAGAATATCTCATGTGCCAAGTTCTGGCACACTCCTAGCTACTTAGGAGGCTAAAATCTGAGGATTGCAGTTTGAAGCTGGACTGGGCAGAAAAGTCCATGAGGCTCTTAGCTCTAGTTAACCACCAAAAAAAAAAAAGCAGGAAGTAGAATAATGACAAGTGGTAGAGCACCAGCCAGCCCTGAGCAAAAAAGCTAAAGGATAATGACTATGCCTGGAGACACACACACACACACACACACACACACACACACACACACACACACACACACACACACACACACACACACACACACACACACACACACACACACACACACACACACACACACACACACACACACACGAAACCAAAGCACACACACGAAACCAAAGCACACACACAATAATTTGTTGCTAGTGGACTCAAACTTCAAGAAATGCAAAGTAAAATTCTTTAGTCAGGTAGGTGATACCAGAGAGAAACTCAGACTCAGAGTTAACTGAAGTTTATTTCTTGCCCGTGTAATTGTAACCCCTCTGTACAGTATTTTCACAATAAAAAAAACAAACAAAATTAAATTAAAAAAAAAAAAGATTATTTCTGAACTGGCAAATTTCTGGAAAAATAAAAGGAGACTTTTTTCTTGTTGTCAATGTTTTGTAATATATATTAGTAGTCAAAAAATTTAGCATTGTCTTCTGAGAATATAACCTGGAAATGTTACCAGTACAATAGTACAGAGGTCTGGAACTGAATGGACCTAGAAGGTGCATTTGTTTCTATTCAATGAAGTGATAGAGCTATAACCATAAGAGGACTAAAGATATTAGAAGAGAAAAATGCACTGTGAAAAACCTTTAAGAAATCTCTGTGACATTGTTTCAGTTATATTTTGGTAGATTTTAGATCTTTTTATTTTTAATTATCTTAGAATCATTGTATTTTAATATAAATATTTACTATATTTAAATTTTGTGGCCTAAGTTATTTGATTTACAAATAAGAATTACATTTTCATAGAAAAAGACAAATGGAGCTCTATAGTGAAACTGTTTTATTGACTATTTTACAAGTGCAATATTCTTCTTTTTACCTTTCTAGAATAATAAATACATAAAACTATACTTTTTAAAATACTCATTTTGTAGGATTCATAATATGAATCAATGTCCTAAATATATGGTTGGACATACTGACATTGTGATTTTTCTTAAGATATTCTACTATATATTCCTGATAGATGTCCTAAATGATTTTTGTTTGCTGTTGAATTGGTTGAATTAGGCTTGTGAAATTTAATAAACAATACTTGTTTCAGGGAACTCTTTGTCTGCAATATTAGAGGGAGAAGCACGGCTAACTTTTTTGAACAGAGGTGAAGATTATGTAATGACAATGCCATATGCTCATTGTAAAGGTAAAGATTTTCCTTAATTCATATATTTCTTTTTAGCTTTAAGTAGTCATACAAAGGGATTCCAGATCAACTTGTCAGGTTATGAATACAATACATCTTAATCAGTGTCACTCTTTTTTATCATTATCCAAACTTTACCCTACATCCTTATAAGTGAATGTATGTGGGTTCACCAAGGCTTTTGATTTAGGATTACCAATTCATTTAATAGACATAAGATGATATCTGTTCATATTCTATATAATGAACTTACGTTTGCATTTTATCCTGTGGAAAAGAATCACCTTGATTTACAAGTTTCTTGTAGAAGGAGATAACACAATGGTATTTATTATTGGCCACTGCCCTTCTCTCTTCAGCCTTTTGTCAATGTTTTTTTCTTTAGGAATTCTTTATGGCACAATGACACTGGAGCTTGGTGGAACAGTCAATATTACATGTCAAAAAACTGGATACAGTGCAATACTTGAATTTAAACTAAAGGTTAGTAGAATGTGATAGGTCATATCACCTAATTACATGAGAGCTGGGTTATAAGTATTGAAGAAAGAACACAATTTAATTTCTACTTAAGAACTAAATATAAAAGCACCATTCATGCCAAGAACCAGTGGCTCATGCCTGGAATCCTAGCTATTCAGGAGGCTGAGATTTGGAAGATGATGGTGCAAAGCAAGCCTGGGAAGAAGTTTGTAAGCCACCATCGAGGACAAGTTGAATGAAAATCTTGGGGTAGGCTAAGGCAGCAAACTTGCTAAATCCAAACACAAAGCCATCATTTTTGTTTTTAATTTTAATTAATAAAAATATTGATATAGGAAAAGAGCATTAAGAAGTTACTAAGTCCAAACTAAGTAACTAAGTCATGCCTGTAATTTCAGCTACTTAGAAGGCAGAGATCTGACGGCCCCCAGTTTAAGGCAAGCCTAGACAAAAAGTTAGTGACATCTATTTCAACCAACAAGCCAGGAATGTTGGTACATGTCTGTGATCCTAGGTACAGGGAAACCATAGGAAGGCAGATCATAGTCTGAGGTTGAGTTCCTGGCAAAAAGCCCAGGACCTATCCAAAATATAACTAAAACAAAAACAGTAAGAGGATGTAGATCAAGTGGTAGAATACCTGCCTATCATGCAAGAGACTGAATTCAAACCCCTGTTCTAAAAGAAATGCCTAAAAGTGACTGGATAGAAATGTCTTCATAAATTAAAGCATTACTTTACATACCAGAATGTATAAATCAAATTACATTCCAGTTATGTACACTAAAATAGAGTTGTATTGGGTACTATTTCTGCATAACAGATTGCTCCAAACTCATTGTCTCAAAAATAATCATGTGCTTACCCTCACAAGGAATAGGGCCAGGAATTTAGACGAGTCATATTAGAAATGGCTTCTCTCCATTACATAATGTTTGCACTTCAGGAAAGCTTGTTAGGGCATGGGTGATTTAACGGTTGAAGACTAGAATCATCTGAAGACATCACTTAGGTATCTGGTGTCTGAGGGACAAAATTGCAGTGTTCCAGCTTAATGTTTTTAGAACGTTTCTATAAATTGTTTTAAGACCACCTTCATTATGATTTTCAAACATCACTATCATCATTCAAGAAAGAACAACTGCTACAGTGGGAAAAAGTCAAAGAAAGGACACTGCATGAAATAGTATCAAAGAGCATCTTTGTGTGTGTGTTTGTGTGTGTGCGCACATGTGCATGCAGATCCTGGGGCTTGAATAAAACTGTCCCTAAGCTTTTTTGCACAAGGCTAGCACTCTTGAGTGCTTAAGCCATAGCACCACCCCAATGTATTTTATTGTTTGTTTTGTTTTTGTTGTTGGGGCGGGGGTAGTGGTTAACTGGAGATAAGAGCCTCATGGACTTTCCAGCTGGGCAGGCTTTGAACTGCAATCCTCATATCTCATCACCAAGGAAGGGATAAGTGAGGCAACCTAAAGTGTAATCCTTCTAGATTTATATTTTGGAGGGTCTTTTTGGTTATATATTTTACTTGGTTTTGTTGTGAAGGAAAATGTACTATTTCTTTTAATAGATTTAAAAAAATTTCTGCAGTTTCCTGAGTTATTGCTTAATGTATTGTCACATTGACAGGGCACAGTCTTGAGTGTTAGGAGAAAGCACAGGGCATGTGTCATTTATGTCAATGTGATCATCCTAGATGGATTTAGAGTACCATAGATAGTCTTCCATAACCTCAGATCAAGTTCACTTAAAATTTCTTTTTTTTTTTTTTTTTGAGTACGATCGTGGGGCCTGAACACTGGGCCTGGGCGCTGTCCCTCAGCTCTTCAGCTCAAGGCTAGTGCTCTACCACTTGAGCTACAGCAACACTTCCAGCTTTTTACTTTTTGCTTATGTGGTGCTGAGGAATCAAACCCAGGGCCTTATGCATGCAAGGCAAGCGCTCTACCACTGAGCCACCTTCCCAGCCCTCACTAAATTTCTAGTTGAACTTTGGACCAGGATTTCAGAATTTGTGCCTTCAATAATACCATAAATGTATAATTATTCCTTGCTGACTTATATTGCATACAAGTTAAAAGTAAAATGTTCAATATTTTCTCTTTTAAAAGCCATTTCTAGGGAGTAGTGATTGTGTTAATCAAATATCAGGAAAACTTAAATTGGGAAAAGAAGTCCTAGCTACTTTGGAAGGTCACTGGGTAAGTATTTTAATCTATTATCTTTACAAAAAGAATTTTATCTCATGGAAATGATTACCAATTAAGTGCTATAAAAGCATCACTATTTAACTTAAGCAGCATAGATATTTTGATACTTCTCCAATGTCAATTATATTTAATATTTTCTTAAATCAGTAGAAATAGATAAAATTTATGTCACCTACTATATGTGGTATTAAGAATGTAACTCATATTGACCTATTTAATATTTAATATAGCCTTGTATAGTGGGTTACATACTACTATTTATTATTGTTCCCCATTTTACGCAGATGTAAACTAAGCTCAAAGCATTTGAATACTTTGCTTAAAGTAGGTGGTGGACCAATAATTGTAGCTCTGCAGTTCGGCTGCAGGGCTGTGCTTTTCTACACAGCACTTTACTACCTTTCACTTGAAAGAAAGAAGCATAGTTTCTTTTGGAGAAACTATTATATAAGAGCAATGGCTTTGATTTACTTTGATGTACTTTTCTGTTGTTCTAGATTCTATATGTGGTTTTTAAAGAGGAGCTTAGATGAATAAAATTGTCATACTAATTAGATACTCTTTGAAAACTGAGTATAAATGTTTTCTGCTTTATAGTAAGCAAAAGTAACCAATGAAACATGATTTAGGGACTTGGGCACGTAGCCAAATATGGAGTTTAAAAAAAAAAAATTGGCTCTACCCGAGTGTCACTTAGAAAACAGACAAAGCAATCTTTTTAAAAAATACGATTTCTGAGATTGTACTGAAATCTTTAATGCTAACAAAAACTCTAAGGTTTTTCCATACCTAGATATTGAGTCCATGGATAGTAACTATAACAAATACGATGTTTTTCTTGGACAGTTTGAGATGGTAGCTAAGGCTTTGTATGTAATGACTAAAGTTTGTTTACTAAAATCTCATGAACTTTATTTCTTTAAGCAAAGATTTTAAATGGATGAGTGTTATATATTTAATCTTAATGGTTTTTGTAAAAAACATGGAAAAGAATTTGAGACAAATACTAATTTTGTTTTAAAATATATTCATTCAATAGGATTCAATAACAGGAAGAACATTATTTTTGTATCAATATGCATTTAATTTCATTATAAATACAATAAGTCTCCACAATAATGCTTGATTTCTTAAATATAGGATAGTGAAGTTTTCATTAATGATAAAAAGACTGATAATTCAGAGGTTTTCTGGAATCCAACACCTGACATTAGGCAATGGAGATTAATAAGGCATACTGTAAAATTTGAAGAGCAAGAAGATTTTGAGTCAGAAAAGTAAGTATACTATTTGTCAGCTCACTTCATGGAAGTCAAAAGAGTGTTTTGTGTGTGTATGTGCATGCATGCTGGCTTAAACTGAAAACCTTGTTTTTGTTTTTTTTTCTTGGCTCTTGTGCACATGGCCGGCACTCTACCACTTGAACCACACCTTTGAAAGGATTGCATCCTTAGTCCTTTATAGAGTAGTCACTATTCTCTATATGCTGTCAGAATTTAATTCAGCAGAAGTTTATCATTTATGGGTTATGACAAATCATACTGTTTTTCTGTAGCTCACAATTAAAACTGCCTGTATTTTTCCTTTCTCTTCTCATGTGCTCCAGTGCCTTATTTTGTTTGCATAAAATTACAGAACAAATTAGTAGTTCTTGGTTTTATCCTAATAGCTGTTACTTAATTTAGGTTAGATATGTAGTACTCTTGGCAAAGGGAATATAACTGAATCTACTTTTGTTCCATTCTCTGAAATACAAGAATACAGACACGGGTATGCTGGACTTACTTATTTGGCCTTACTTACTTAATGCCATAGTTTCTATTGCTAAATAATAACATTTTTGCTTGGATCACTTACACCTTTGAGTAAAAATTATGGTATATGGTATACAGTGTATCTATGTTAGGCAAAGAATGCTTCTATGTGAAAGATACTTTTGCTATGCAGTTATATATATTAATTGTTCCTACATGCCCTTATTCAAGTCTACATGAGCTTTCCTTTCTATACTAAAATTTAGTTTGTCAGATAGAAAATACCTATGCATCAGTTCTAAAATATCCATTCAGACACAATCACGTGATATTCTCCATGCAAAACTTTTTAAAAATATATGTTTTGAGATATTAGTATAATTAGTCTTATTTTATAGATGAAGAAATAAGACAGAATGGAAAACTTTGACTAGCTAAGAAGTGACAGCCCTAGGACTCAGCCCAAATCTGCCTAAACTTCTATTCTCTTTTTTGCGACATACTATATTCTCAGATGGTTGATCCATAAATTTTGTATGTATTTTCATTGGATTGATGAAAAAAACAAATTTTAATGGGAAAATTATTTTTCTAAATTATCTTTCTGAAAGTCTTTTTTGTTAAATCACTGTTTTTCAGCACTGTTAACACATAGAATATTCCTGACAGCATTAAAAAATATTGACACTTGATCCCTCTCCTTTGGAAACTTCTCTGATAATTTGCAAGCATCCAAGGTTGAGAAGCACTACTAGATTTTCCTGAATCCAGTGGATTTTAAACAGTATATATAAGAATTATCTGGAGAGCTTGTTAAAATGTAGATTCTCTTGAGCCCTACCTTCAGTACATTTCCATTATCTTTATTTTGCAACATTCACTACCATATGTTTGAGAATTCATGTAATAAATTTCTCTTGCCAAGAACAAATTATTATTCACTTACAAGCAGGTGTCTCTCTACTCAAGATACTGGGTTTTTATGTTGACTAATTTCTCAGCATATGACTGTAAGCTCTGTTAAAGCCAGAAATCCACATGAACATCATTTTCTCTCAATAGATTCTTATAGAGATTTGGTTTTCTGTTGTTTTTTAATACTATTTTTGCACATGTATTAGACTCTGGCAACGAGTAACACGAGCCATAAATGCCAAAGATCAAACAGAAGCTACTCAAGAGAAGTGTGTTTTGGAAGAAGCTCAAAGGCAAGCTGCCAGAGATAGGAAAACAAAAAATGAAGAATGGACTTGCAAGTTATTTGAACTTGATGCACTCACAGGAGAATGGCATTACAGGTTTGCAGAGTAAGTAAAATGAATTTATTTCAAATAATATGCTTACCTGCATTCTTACAATGGTTTTGTTACTTGCTATATAGATTAATGTGAAATTCTGAACTTGCAATTCCAGTCATTATAAATTCAATTCCGTGAGAGTAGAACTAATGATCAGAAGATTAGATATGGGCCAATCTTGATATTAGAACTATGTTTATAATTATTAATAAAAATCTAATCACAGAATACAAGTTTTTTAAGTTCTTTGCTTGGCCATTAAACAATTTTTCTTCTATTTATTTAGTACTCGACCATGGGACCCACTTAATGATATGATACAGTTTGAAAAAGATGGTGTTATCCAGACTAAAGTTAAACATCGCACTCCAATGGTATGTAATTAAAAAGAAGACAAAACAAAAATTACACCTGCTAGGCATATAAATTTGTTGTCTATGGCTGTCTACAATTAAAATTTGGTTTCCAAATTTAAATATTTTAGTTAAGCAGAGTTAGTGCAGCTTTAAGCTCTATGTCCCCAAAGAACATCAAAAGGGCAAATGCTATCAGATTAAAAGTTGCCAGAATTCTGGAAAATAGACATTTGCATCAACCAAGAGAATGCTGGATCAAAAAAAAAAAAAAAAAAAAACTAGTAGGAAAGCTCTGTAGCATTTTACTTACCCTTGCCAGACCCTCTTCCCGTAAGTCTTACAGATTTATTCATTCCAGTGGAATTCTTGGTGCCCAAAGGATCAAACCAGACCATATGCAGGAATTTATGTGTGTATTCCAACCTAGTAGGCTACTTACTACCTAAAAGACTACATGAGGCACTTATTTCTGAGAATATTAATGAGAGACTATACAAAAGAACCAAGCAAATTGTACAGCTGAAAAGTATGGTAGCAGATGAAAAATTCCTCTAGAAATTCAATGAAAAAACAAGAGAAAAGGAAAGATAACAAAAACAGCAACAAAGAAAAAGCCTCTTGTCTCCAGAATGGATCCATTCTTAAAATGAGAACTAAGACCATAAAACTCTTAGAAGAAAATGGACAAATCTTCATACCTTGTACTTGGCAATAGATGCTTAGATATAACACTATAAACATAAGTAACAATAACACCAACAGCAAATTATAATTCAATCTGTAGAATGACAAAGTATTTGCTACTCATTTATTTAATAAAGAAAGCTCTGCTATCCCAAAAATGTAAAGAGTCCAAACTTAACAAAACTGACAGCTAAATGTGAAAATGGTTAAAGGACTTTGATCAGACTTTTATCCAAAATAAATATACAGTTGGTGCAAAAAATACATGGTAAGATGTTTAACATTATTAATTATGAGGAAAATATAAACCAAAACCACACTTAGGTATTACCTTACTATTACTTACTATGAAGATTATAATTTAAAATTAATGGAAAAGGAAAATTAATAATTCTTCAATGTTTATAAATGTAAAATTACCACATGAACCAGCGATTCTAATCCAGAAAAACTGAAAACAGTTGTTGGAAATACTACTTCAGCAATGGTCATTGCATGATTATCCACAATTTTCCAAAAGGTAGAAACAATTCATTAACTGATGAATGGATATATAAAGATGTGATATATCGATACAGTTCTATATTATTCAAGATAAAAGGTAATGAAGCCAGGTGCCGGTGGCTCACACCTTTTAATCCTAGCTACTCAGGAGGCTGAGATCTGAGGATTGAGGTTCAAAGCCAGCCCTGGTAGGAAAGTCCTTGAAACTCTTATCTCCAATAAACCACCAGAAAACTGGAAGTGGCACTATAGCTCAAGTGATAGAGCGTTAGCCTTGAGCTGAAGAGCTGAGGGACAGTGCTCAGGCCCAGAGTTCAAGGCCCACAACCGACCAAAAAAAAAAAAAAAAAAAGTTAAGAAGTTCTGTTGTATTCCACAACATGGATGAAACTTGAGAATCTTGCACTGTGGTAGGACCAAATAAAAATGGCAAATATTGCCGGGCGCCAGTGGCTCATGCCTGTAATCCTAGCTACTGAGGAGGCTGAGATCTGAGGATCACAGTTCAAAACCCGGGCAGGAAAGTCTGTGAGACTCTTATCTCCAATTAACCACTAGAAAACCGGAAGTGGTGGTGTGGCTCAAGCGGTAGAATGCTTGCCTTGAGCTGAAGAGCGCAGGGATAGCGCCCAAGCCCAGAGTTCAAGACCCATGACCGACCAAAAAAAAAAAAAAAGGCAAATATTATATGATTTTTCAAATGAATGAATTAATAGAGACTAAAAATAGATTAGAGGCTACAGAAAATCAGAAAAAGGAGAGAATGGGGAGTTACTGATGTTTTGGAAATAGTGATTGTTATATAAAAATACTGCTAATTAATGGTGCTACATTGTAGATAGTTGCTAAAAATAAAAAATGTATATATGCTTTCATTAAAAAAATGTATATCCATTGTCTTCTTTCTTTAACCGCTTATGTTCTTTAACTGTTTAGCATTGTAGAGAACAGGAAAGACATCTGTATAAAAGTAGACTGTACTGATCAGCAAAGATTTACACTCTCAATTGTATTGCTGACACCTTTGTCATTTTAATGCTCCAGGATTTGAAGTAGAAATATAGGCTGAATACAGAATCCTCTTGCTCACTATGAATTAGAAATTTTTGTAAGTTTAAGCTCTGCAAAATTTTAGTTTTATTTCTGTTTACCCTAAGCTGCTTCCTCTTTTATCCGTATATTATTAAACTATAAATCATCTAAGTTCTACTAGAAACCCAACATAATGCAGTATTTCCTTCCATCCAATATTTCTAATATTGGTAACAAAATAAGTATGAATTTTTTGTGTGCCTGTGTGTGCGCTTGCCTACACTGGTACCAGGCTTGAACTCAGTGCCTCATGCTCTCTTTGCTTTCTTGCTCAAGCCTCTACTAATTGGTATATGCCTAAAATGCCTACATTTTCTTTGTAACTGTAAATAGTCTCATGATTTTTCTGTCTGGGCTGCTTTCAAACTGACAGCTTCCAGGACTCCTGAGTAGCTAGAATTATTAAGCTATTATCACCTAGCTGATAAGTATGATATTCAAACATTATTATTTAATATCATTGAGCCAGGAACTGTTGGGCTCACACTTGTAATCCTAGTTGCTCAGGAAGCTGAGATCCAAAGGATCAGGGTGATTCTAAACCAGCTCAGGCAAAAAACTTGGGAGACAAGCCGGGCACCTGTGACTCATGCCCGTAATTCTAGCTACCTAGGAGGCTGAGATCTGAGGATCTAGGTTCAAAGCCAGCCGTGGCAGGAAAGTCCCTGAAACTCTTATCTCCAGTTAACCATGAGAACACCAGAAGTGGCTTGAAGTAAGTAGTAGAGCACTAGCTTTGAGCTAAAAATTTCAGGCCCCTGAATTCAAGCCATACAACTGAAAAAACAAGCAACAAAAAAAGGAAAAGTTGTGAGACTCCATCTCCAAAATAGGAAAACAAGAAAAAGAAAGAAAAATTGTGAGTCTCTAGCTCCAAAAGACAAAGATAGCACACTTTTGGAAGAAAATTCAAACTAACAACAGTTGCTGTCTATTTGATGAATAAAACATTGGGTTGCAATAAGTAAAAGAGGAGTTACTTCGGTATTTTACTTTTGGTGCCAAATTTTTTCCTATGACAAATAAGATAATTTGTAATGCATTATTGGTTCAGTTTCATTAGACTTTTTTTCTTTGCCCTGTTTCTGACCCCCATGAATGGTTTTGAAAATTGTATGACAGTGGTCTTTTAATATAAATTACCATGCCAACTCAAGAGCATGATTTTTTTTTTTTCAGGTCAATGTCCCCAAAATGAAACATAAGCCAACCAGGCAACAGAAGAAAGTGGCAAAAGGCTATTCCTCCCCAGAACCTGATATCCAGGACTCATCTGGAAGTGAAAGTAAAAATATATATTGTAAACTATTCACCATAAACATCTATTTTGATGTATGTAAATGATTTTTCAAATTAACCAGGGAGAGCTGGGCACCGGTGGCTTATGCCTGTAATCCTAGCTACTCAGGAGGCTGAGATCTGAGGATCATAGTTCAGAGTCAGCCTAGGCAGGAAAATCCGTGAGACTCTTGTGTCCAATTAACCACCAGAAAATTGGAAGTAGCTCTGTGGCTCAGGTGGTAGAGCACTCACCTTGAGCTGAAGAGCTCAGAGGTAGTTCCCAGGCCCAGAGTTCAAGCCCCATAACTGACTAAAAACAAAATTAACCAAGGAGATAATGTAAGAATTTAGGGGGATGTAGGGATAGGGTATAAAAGCTATATTAGATTATACATAAATTGCAGGAGCAGACTATAAGGAAAAGGCATGAAGATACAAAAGAGAGATGGACAAATAAGAATAATAGTAATTCTTATGCCTTAAAACATGGTTGAAATTCAGAAAGCATTTTTCAAGCTGTGAGCTCAGTTCCATGCTTCAAGAAATCTTTCATTTTTAAAATAAATTGGTGTTTAAAGTCGCAGACAAAAACAATATAGCTAATATAAAATTATATCTAATATATAATTTATGGGCTACTAGATTAAATAATGGCACATTCTTGTTTGAGCCACATAATATATGAGCGATTTTAAACTACACTGAAATACAATTAAGAAAGGATCAAATTAATATCTTAGACATTATGGGAAAATAAACTTTAAGCCATAGCATCTAATGAGTTTGCACTCTGCTAGGGAGCTAATTTCACTTAAACAGTGAGTATAAGAAAATTAGATAAGAATTTGAAGGAGAAGAATCTCAATTCAGTTTGAAAGATGGTTCTTAGAAGAGCCCTGATGAATTCTTAGGATTTCTAGTGGATTATAGCAATCTAGTCTAGGGATGTGGTAAGGAGGTGCAACACACTAGAGAAATTAAGGAATTCAATGAATGAAGGTTTATCAGCAAGTCATATGATTCCAATGTACTAAAAGGTAACATTATGTATAGTTTTATTATTTATTGACTAACATATGTCAAAACTAAGTTAACTATACCTTAATACAACCATGTTAATGATAATAATAGTATTATTATTATTAAGATGAGACAGGCTTATACCTATAATCCTAGGTACTCGGGAGGCTGAAAATGGAAAGACTATGGTTTAAGGCCCTGTGTTCAAACCCCAGCTTAACAACAAGAGGGGTGGGAGGGAGGGAAAGAGGAAGCTGAGACCTAGAGGTTAAATAACATCTGAATAAAAAGGAATGAAATGAAGGAATGAATATGATGAGGGATTTGGGAGTGGGAGGAAAGTCTATACAGCTTGCTGCTTGGCAATAAAAATGTGTAGACGAAGAACCAAAGTGACTACAGAGATTTAAAGTTTGGGTAACTGAAAGAATATTACAACTAATAAAAAATTTAAGTGATATAGAAAAGTAATACCTTCCCACAATTAATACATATTTTAAGTGAATCATTTTTGCCCATTTTAATGAGCTATAGAATAAAAAATTATGCCATCCAAAAATAATTTATGACTAGTTATATCTATGGTGTTTTGTTGTTATCTTATTGTGCCAGTCCTAGGGCTTGAATTCAGAACCTAGGTGCTATCCCTGAACATTTTTGCTCCAACCTAACATTCTTCTGCTTGAGCCACAGCTCCACTTCTGGCTTTTTAGTGAGTCTCATGGACTTTCCTGCCCAGGCTGGCTTCAGACATAAATCTTCACATCTTAGCCTCCTGACTAGGAAGGATTATAGGCATTAGCCACTGGTACCTGGCATCCATAAAGGTTTTTTGTTTTTGTTTTGTTTTGTCGGTCATGGGGCCTGAACTCTGGGCCTGGGCACTGTCCCTCAGCTCTTTGGCTCAAGGTTAGCGCTCTACCACTTGAGCCACCGAGCCACTTCCAGCTTTTTCTGCTTATGTGGTGCTGAGGAATTGAATCCAGCCTCATGCATGCAAGATAAGCACTCTAATACTGAGCCACCTTCCCAGCCCCATCCATAGTGTTTTGAAATGATATGGTTGAGACTCAAAACTGAGTATTAGTTTTATGCTAATATCTAGCCATAAGACTAATGCTTAGGGAAAATTTTGTTATACAAGAATTAAATTTAATTTTACATTTAATTCTAAATGTCTTTTAGCTCAATCTGTAAAACCAAGTACACGAAGAAAGAAAGGGATTGAACTGGGAGACATTCAAAATTCCATCGAATCTATAAAACAAACACAGGAAGATATCAAAAGGTAATATCTACTGACTGAGTGAATAGTTAAGAAATCGGTTATATGGAAAATCTTACGTATAGTTACATTATTGCTAAGTTACACTAGAATCCTGGCTTCTATCATCTGATGTATGTAACCTTTTGACATTCCTCTAGTACTAAGATACTGGGTAAAACGGTGGATTTTTTTTCTCTTCTGAAGTAGAATTGGAACCACTGTATTTTACTGCTAGGATTGCATGCTCCAATTGAGTGTGGAGATGGGATTGTTTCTGAGAAAGGTAACAAGGCTTGGTTTGACAGCCCCATTGTATATGGTTAGTATTTAATTTACTCATTGTTGATATATTGAAATACTACGAAAACAATGGGTAAATAGTCATGCCCAATGATTTTTGAGTGTTCTTCTTACTATCCCAGTATCCTCTGCAGCAAGTACACCAAAATCCAGCAACTAAAGATTATTAACACTTAGTTTCCTTGGAGGAGAAGGAATCCTGATCCTATTCCATTGCTAAAATTAGTCTGAGTTCAGATTCATTTCCTCTCATGCTTATATTCCTTCCATGCTTAGTTTTTAAATGTTGAAAATATTGGCCCACCTGTTTTTATGTATTCAGCACTCAATACTAGATACATTTTGGACAATTAAATAGTGGCTTACATCTACAGTGTTGGTTTGTTTTTTCTTTTTGTTTTGGTTGTTGGTCATGGGGCTTGAACTCTGGGTCTGGGCACTGTCCCTGAGCTCTTGAGCTCAAGGTGAGCACTCTACCAGGTGAGCCACAGCACCACTTTCAGTTTTCTAGTGGTTAATTGGAAATTAGTCTCATGGACTTTCCTGCCCGGGCTGGCTTTGAACCGTGATCCTCAGATCTCAGCCTCCTGAGTAACTAGGATTACAGGCATGAGCCATCAGGGCCCAGCTGGGTTTATTTTTGTTTGTTTGTTTGTTTGTTTGAATTTTACTAGTAATTTTTTTTTCTGGAGAATTTAGAATTTTCTTCTATTTCTACCCTTACAAAAAGAACCTTACTGAATCAATTAAAAAGCAAATGTTTATTTTTAAAACAACTGCTGTAACAGAAGGTAGTATGTTTCTATGTCATCAAATTTTTACAAACATAATTATGTTTGGTACATATAATTTGATGTGAAGTATGGCATCATCATATCCTTGTTTTAGTAGTAATTTAACAGATTATTTAGATAATGTATTAAGGTCTTTCTGACCATATGATATCAAATTGTGAATTTTGTGCTAACATCTCTGGAAAATTAATTTAATCATTGTTTATAATTTTGTAGAAACATTATGGCTCTTCGAAATCACTTAGTTCCAAGTACACCTGCCACGGATTATTTTCTGCAACAGAAAGACTACTTCATCATTTTCCTCCTGATTTTGCTTCAAGTCATAATAAACTTCATGTTTAAGTAGAAGTTCTTTACAGTTCAATCAGTGAACTAGATCAGCTTTGACCTGGGACCAGTGTTCAAGTTGGTTTGGTCTTTGTTAAAACATGAAATATTTCTAAAACAAAAATTACAGGAGATAAGTGTATATGTGTCTACCTTTCATATCTTTTATCCTTAACTTAAAATGAGAGCTATCCCATTTGTCTAATAATGTGAGCTATGTGTTAAGAACCAGGATATTTCTAGCTTTTATGAGAATATGTCTTACATGTGATTACATGTACACATAGCTATCTCTTATGTATTCTTATTAGACATTAGTCTTGTGTTCTATAGAATGTTCTGAGATGTACTGCAAACATTGTTCATAATGAAAATGCTATTGATCTTATTAATGTATGTATGGTAGTCTATTTTCTTCTTAAGATAGGCACAAAACTATTATCAAGGAATTTACAGACTTGGAAATGATGGGGTAATAGACCTATTGTAAATATTTCAATATATTATACTGTTAAAAATCATTTCCAAAGTACCCAGGTCAATTGTGTTCTTAGAAACACCAAGAAATAAAAATTACAAATGGTCAGAATTAGTATCTTGAAAAAGACGTGGCAAAGTTTTTAAAAGTTTACAAATGATTTTTAAACCTGTAGAATTTAACATTTCTACGTATAAGTATATATGTGCTTATGTGTATATCAATATAAAAAACCTGGTATGCAGCTACATGGATGTATTAATTGTAACACCACCATATGCACTTGTTGAAAAGTGTGGTCAAAATTGATTGCTGTCCTTTTTTCTTTTTTTAAGTTATCTGGTCCATGTTAATAGGCCAAATTATAAAGGTGTTTATAAGGCATATGAAATAGTGATAGTTCATGTTTTTTCTTTTGAAAAACATTTTAGTGTTCATTTGAACCCTAGTATGTTCAATGAATAAGTAGAATAGGAAAAAACTATAACAAATGTTTTACTTCAAAAACCAAAAAGAGAAAGGCAATAAGAAATGGCACTATTTACTAGCCTTTATATGTATGCATTAAAATTGGTTTCCTTAAAATGTGCAGTAGTTGAGCATTTAAAAGTACTGAGTTCTAAAGTGTAAATCTTTATTATGCCCCTCTATTCTTAGTAATTTTCATCTTGTGGCAAAAACCACAATTCTTTAAGATTCATTTTGTCAGGCATATTTTTCCTCTTTTTTTTGCCTATATCTTCAACATACCCTTTTAACTTTGTGTTTTTACATATAGTCCTTAACTTTTCTTTTTTGCAAAAGTAGTTAAGTTTAGGAAGATGATGTCCTAAAATATACTTTAGAAAATATAGATTTTTGGAGTGCTTTTTTAAATGAAAATGTAGATCAGAGAGAATAATTGCTCTGACTATATCTGCCTTTGACTAAGAAGAGACTGTGAGATACATGTAAAATTACAATCAACTCTGTGCTGTGACAAATGTAATGTTATATCAAGGGAGAATTGCTAATTTATGAAAACTGATAACCTGGTTTTTTTCTAACAAATAGAACTAAGTATCCTTAGGTATCTATGAAGAGCCATGTCCCATGCAGTATTGTCAAAACAGTACTGCATTCCATATGTACACATAAGAACTTTTTAAATGTACCAGCATAAATAAGGTGTATGTGTATCCAGTATTTTCATTAGTCTTAGAACAGGTGGGTTTGGGATTATATTTCATATTTCTCAGTATATATTTTGTATTTGCATTCTGTTACCAATATTATATGCTCAACTGCCTATTCATTGACATGTGGTATTTTGTAAATATTGTACAATTTGATCTTTATATGATTTAAATTAGCATTAATTTATACTATATGAAACTTGGTTGGCTAATCACAAAAGTTATTTCATCATTAAACCTTGGCAACTTAAAATTTTTTATTGATGACCTGTCTTAGGGTTTTGGTCTTACCCACTTGTATGTTACTTTTTCATTTGATCTAATATTGTTTTATTTGCATGGATGTCTTATAAGACTGGAAGAATAATTATTTTATTATTTTGATTTTTTTTTAAGGAAAAATGTTATAGAGTCTTACCCAAGGAGTCAAAACCTAAGGAGCAGGGTGGGTTATTCATGACTGTTTCTTATATACACTAAAAGCATATTTCTAATTGAATAGTTTCCACATGCTTTTGTTGTATTGGTTCATTTCTGTGGGCAGAACACAAAACTCAGGAATTGGTGGCTTAATTGCAGATCAGTACTTATACTGGGGCTTAGTATGTGAATCCATTAAAACATTCAGTTATCTTTGTAGTTAGCCATAATATGTAATTGACTTTGAATGTTCTTTTTTCTGAGATTAATACTCCTCTATATATGGATTTTTAATGTCATTCACAGTTCCCAACTGTCTGAAAGCTTCATGGTGGTTTCTAAGATTTACGACCTTAAGACCAGTTTTCTTTTATGGAAAATGTTTTCTCACAGGAAAATTTATATGAGTAATAATTATTGACACATGCACTTTTGTTTTAGTTGTGAAATGTACTAGGTCTTCAGTCATCTCTCTTTTAGTGAGACGTTGTTGGCTAGAAAAAAGATCATAAAAGCATGTGGAATGTTATTACAGCAATATAGATATCTTATATCAGTACTTTATGTATCACTTATGAAGGTACAATATAATCTTTGTCACAGCTCAGTTGATAATTGCATTCCATTGAAAAGTTGGCCTTGTAAATTACAACTCTCACTTAATATTCATGCTTTTGTGCCTTTAAGAAAATATTTTTGTCATTTTTGTGTTACAGAACTGTAATATGTTCAAAGTATTTATAGGCTTATTTGTCATAAAAAGGTCATTTCTTTGTGTCACTTTATTTCCTTTTATATAGTGGAAGTATATTTAAATAGCAGTGCTGTACTTTTTTAAAGGTTTGTCTATTTACCTATTTCAAATATATTCTTATTCTCAAACATCACTGAAGTAGACTTGTCAGACTATTCTGAGTATTGTAAACAGTGCCTTTTTGATGGAATTCACACAGTTTTGGATGTCATCTTGTGCCATATACACAGAATTCTGTGGAAGGCAGTTTTAACTTTTTGAAGAATATCTTCATCAAATTTAAGATAACAATGTGTAAAATTTTTTTTCATATGTTCAGCATTTCTAGTGAGTAATTAGTAGTTTGGAGATTTTTGCTTGACCTACAGTGATAATGGTATTAATTGATGAGTCAATATGTAAGAATAGAAATTACGATAAATTATGTAAAATATAAAGAAATAAAATATTAGTATTTATATAAAATTTTCCAATTTGACCCAATGAGGGGAACCCCGCATAAACCAGTAAGTTTACATTTCAATTTGTATGTTATTTGACTAAGTGTAAAGAGATTCTTTAAGATGTATAACCTGCCAATATGATGTAATTTCATTTTCTTCTACATATCCTTAAGTTAGTGTACTTAATTTCCTTTTTGTTACTCTTAACATATAACTTTTGTTAGTTTTTAATTGAAAATGGACTGTTAAAATTGTATAGGACCAGTGTCTTTAGTATGATTAACATTTTTAGAAGAGCCACAAGAAACCCATGACAAAATGAATGTGAATATACTTTCTAAAATATTTAGAAAATTTTGTTTCTGCATTTATCATGTAAAATTATTTTGGTATTATAATACTGAAAATTGAAAGCAAATTGCCATGAAACAGTTGAATGATGAGCCACAGAACTTTGGTTGAATTTTTTTTTCATGTTTTAGCATGCTCAATATACACTTAAGTTTATAAATATCCTGTTTAATGGCCATTTATAAATTCAAGCACTACCACTGGTCAGTTTTGTATGATAAAATTAAAAGTATGTTATCTGCAGTGCAAGTATGGCACACTCATTCTTTTCCTTAAGGTGCATAGTAAATGTAGATAGTCACAGGCTACTGTTTTGTAATGTATTACATTTCTTATCTATTATTCCTAACCTGTTATAAATGTTTGCAGAAAGAAAAGAATTGAATTTTTCTAAAGATCTGTAAAAACCGTTAACTTCTACAAGTAGGCATTCTAAATAAAATTTTTAAAACAGCAAACTGTGATCCAACGACTCTTAATATAACATAGTATAACTAGTTCTCTCCCTCCCTTTTCTATGGGGGTAGATGCAAAGTATGGGGGAGGACTTGAGATTTAACAGTTTCTAATGTATGCTTAACCAGGGGTACTTTATATTCTTATCTCTTCCTAACAATAAATAAATGGGAATTACCTAGATTTTATGTATGAAGAATAGAGGTTCAGAGAATTTAAATGACTACCAAAACTACACAGGAAGAATGATAGCACAAGCCAGTGGCTCAGGCCTCAGGAGACTGAGTTGAAGCCAGTTCAGGAGACAAACTGGAGATGCTTATCTTCGATTCAACAGCAGATAGCTAGGAGTGGTGTGGTTCAAATGGTGTAGGACCTTTGCTTTGAGTGGAAATAGTCACACAGCTACAGAGAAAGGCCCAGAATGACAGCAAGATTTTACTGCTCTATCAATGCCTAAAAAGTATTTCACTTACTAAAGTCTCTGGGCTCGATCCAGTAAAGTAGACCAGTGTTAAAGCATACCACTGATCATCGATGTGACTAATGGGACGATGTCCTCATCATCGAAACACTTCGGTTAAAGGGTTCAACTGCAGTTGGTGGGGCTGCCTTGTGCTCTGGAGTTCTAGAACGTGTGGAAACCCTTCCTAACCCTTGAGTCTCGGTGGCCGCGGCCGCCGCGGTCCGGCAGCTCCCTGGCTTTGGTGCCGGGGAGGCGAGCGGAGGCGGCCACGCGCCCAGCAGGCGCGCGACTCGGGGGCGGAGCCCGAGGCTCCCGGAGGGCGCGGCCTCTCCCCCGGGCGCGGCCCCCCACCTGCTCCCCCCCCACCTGCTTCCCCCCCCCCCCCGCCTGCCCTACCGCCCGCGGCGGCGGCGGCAGCCCGAAGGCAGGGTCGGGGGGCGGAGCTGAGGCCACCAGAGGGTAAGGCATGCACCTAGGACTCCGGGTTTCCATTTCAGGGACAGCTCTGGGCAAATCCAGGCTTTCTCGCCCCATCTGAAGCGTGACGGCTCTTCCAGCCCAGCTTTCCAGCCAAGCGAGCGGATACGTTACCCGCCCTGGCAGGCCTTGCTTCCACGGCTTCCGGTTCTGATGGCTGGCTTCCGGGTCACGCCCCGCCCTCGCTTCCGGCTCCCGCTTTCCGGTCTCGCCCGCCCCCCTTCGGGTCGCGCTGACGTCACATCTGTAGGCCGGCGGGAGGGAACGGTTTGGGCGCCCTGCTTCCATGGCTGTCCCGGCATCGGTGAAGACGGCCTTGCGGGTGGCCCAGGTGCTGGAGAGCATCGTGAGCCGCTGCCTGGGGCCAGATGGGCGGCAGGTTTTGTGTACGAAGCCCACCGGCGAGGTGCTGCTCAGCCGGGATGGAGGCCGCCTCTTGGCGGCGCTACACCTAGAGCATCCCATAGCCAGGTACCTGCGTGCCACCCTCAGTGCCAGGCCGGAGCAGGTGGGCCGGCGCCCGAGCCTCGTGACCCCTAGGCCGCGCGCCTGCAGGCGCGACCTCGCACGGGGCCTGCAAGTACTCCGGGCCTGGTCCTCACAGCTTACCACCTCCCGAGACCCTCCCCTGCGCCCCATCCCAGAACCTTAAAAACGGAACCAAGGGACTTGGAGTAGGAAAAGTAAAGCTAAGGATGGGTGCCTGTGTCTTTAGCTGTGATGAACATGGTGTTATCTTGATTCCAATGTATTAAGGCCTCCTTCTGAAAATACAAGTTACTTTATTATTTTTTTTGTACAGGATGATAGTGGCGTGTGTTTCCAGTCATCTCAAACAAACAGGAGATGGTGCTAAAACATTTATTATTTTTCTTTGCCATTTACTCAGAGGACTTCATGCAATCACAGGAAAAGAAAAGGATTCGTTGAGTATTGGAACTATGCAAACCCTGGAAAGGCACTGGAAAAATAGTTGTCAGTGGAAATTTATTTCCCAAGCTCTACTAACGTTTCAGACACAAATACTAGACTATACTATGGATCATTGTTTAAGTAAACACTTTCTGTCCATCTTTTCTTCATCTGCGAAAGACAAAACTTTGTGTGGGGGCTCTTTAGAGTTACTCTTAGGAGCTTATTTTTGTGGAAGGGTGGGAAGAAATAATCACAAATTTATTTCACAATTGATGTGTGATTACTTTTTCAAATGTATGACTTACGAAAGTGGGGTTGAATTATTTGAACTAGTGGATGACTGTTTTGTAGAATTGAATGTTGGTGTAACTGGCCTTCCTGTTTCAGACTCTAGAATTGTCGATGGGCTCGTGCTTCACAGAGATTTTTCTGTTTACTGTCCAGCAGAGGGTGACATACGAATGGTGATAGTAAAGGAAATTATCCAGCCTCTTTTTTCAACCTCTAGATCAGAGTTTATGCTAAATTCAGAAGCACAATTTCAGACATCTCAGTTTTGGATTATAGAAAAAACAAAAGCAATAATGACACAGTTACATAGTCAGAATGTGAAATTGCTTCTCTCTAGTGTGAAACAACCAGATTTAGTTATTTATTATGCAAGATTGAGTGGCATTTCAGTAGTGGAGTGTTTATCATCAGAAGAAATATCTCTTATCTGGAGAATCATTGGTCTTACTCCCTGTGAACTACCACAAACCTCATCACAGTGTGAAATTTCTAACACTGCTCTGGTGAAATTTTGTAAACCGCTTGTACTTAGATCCAAAAGGTATGTTCATCTTGGCTTAATTAGCACATGTACATTTATACCACACAGTATAGTTCTTTGTGGACCAGTTCTGGGCCTTGTTGAACAACATGAGAGTGCTTTACATGGAGCACTTAAAATGCTTCGGCAGTTATATATTGATCTTGATCTAAATTATGTAATACAAGCCAGTGACCAAAATGGCAGATCAAATCCTCTTACTTATAAAAATAGCCAAAAAAGTAATCAGTTACCAGAAATTAGCAATGACTCAATACTTAGATCATATCAGGATGTAGTAAAGAGCAAAGATGTATGTGAAAATTTGGTAGTTTCAGATGTAGAATTAGAAGCAAATATTCCATGTTCAATACCAGAAGTGGCACCAAGAGATACATTCCAAACAAATAAAGCACAGAGGTGTTTGTCTCCAGAAAAAAACAAAATAATGGATGACTCTGAGCTATTAGCTAATTCCACTGATAAATCTACAACAGAAAACACTAGAATAGAAATTTCTTATGAAAATTTACAGGTCACAGAAATTCCTAGAAAAGGGAACCTGTTACCATTGAGATCCAAGTCATTGGATATATGTTACCATTCCTCATCTGTGCCAGCAGGTTGTGTTTTGCCAGTAGGTGGCAGTTTTGAGATCTTGTTACATTACTACCTTCTCAACTATGCCAAAAAATGCCAGCAATCAGAAGAAACCATAGTTATTACATTAATAGCTAATGCACTTTTAAGCATTCCTCAAACCCTTTATAAGTCCAAGAAAGGAAATAACAGCTTTCCACAAATATATTTGAGTTCTATCCATGCACTGCAAACCCATCAACCCATGGTAAGCAGTCAGGTAGGTTTGGAATCAGTAACTGGTAAGTACCAGTTACTAACTTCAGTTCTTCAGTGTTTGGCAAAAATATTAACCATTGATTTGATTATCAGTGTTAGGAGGCAACCTCAGAAAAATTGTGATCAAGATTCAGAAGATGAACTTTAACATCTGAAGTTTGTTTTTTTAGGTTTTATTTTTAATTCCTACTCAAGCCATAAAGTAATGCAGGCATATGACTCCTGGTTCTGAAGCAATTTAGTCTACTTAGGAAAATAATACAACTTAAATAGTAGATCTACTGTAAGGTTATCAGACCATTTAAAATCTATGTTAGACTTATTTATGAAACAAAACAAATGGAGAAGCTAAATTTGGCTATATTTGTGTCTTGCCTGTTTTTATATGTATCGAGCTCTGTTAATCTGTGTAGAGAGATGGTACTTGCTTATAGCTCCTTTCTATCTTTTTTCTACTTTCTTCACTCTCAACTTCATTTTATATGTAGTCCATGTAGTCGTTAGATCTCAGATACAGATGGGAGTCCTCAAAGGCCATCTCATTTTAATTGTAAAGCAAATGTTATTTGCTTCATTTAAAATAATTTTCCAAGAAAAAAGTAATTTTCCCTGCTCATAATTTTTAACATAATTTTTTCCTTTTAGAATGTTTTTTTTAATTTTTACAAGTTATATGGGTTGTTTCTATCTCATTTGAAAAAAACTTGGGTAAATTTTTGCCATTTATGCACATATATTTAATATATGTTTCCAGAAACAGCACTGTGCTTTGTGAATGTATTTCTATAATTAAAAGTTCATACCAGAAAAGACATTCATACTTTTCATTTTTCCTTGGCTCCTAAAATCTTATAAAGCTAATCTGTGCACCTGATGTTTCATGTACTTACTTTTTCTTATATATGGGACATTGCCAACACTGGCAATGTTCAGTAGTAACCTGTTCAGTAGTAACCAAAAAATGGCATATTTCTAATGTGAATTTAGAAATGCATTTTGCTTTTCATTTTAAGAGCTTAAAATGCAAGTAATACTGTGCTTCTAGCCATAGATTAGAGCAGTGTCTTCTGCTTTTTGTAGTTCTTTGTAATACTCAAAAGGATATTTTTGTTTATGCTAAATATTCAGGCCTGCTTGTGAAATAAAAGTGTTATCTTCAATCTGTTCCCCTACGTCTGTGTTTCTGATTTATTCAACAGATTTTTACTGAGTGCTTACTGTGTGCCAAATACTAGGCTAAATACTGAATATGCCATGCCTTTGTGTACTTTTCTACAAAATTAATGGATAGATGACGCTGTTTGGTTTGAGATTGAATTTAAGAAAAGTGATGTTAAAAACCCACTGTAGCTAGGCATTTTGTCAGGGAATATCTTTTATTTTATAGTTCAATTTTCAAAGGTTTATGTTAAAAGATGCATATTTCATTTCTAAAAACATGGGGAGTGTAATCTAGCTCTTCTTGAGTTCATAGATGAGAGAGCCTCTGTTCAAACTGCTGGACATTCTCCCATTCTTTTAAACATTTTTAGATCCTTTTGTTTTAGTTTTTGTTGCCAATGTAAATATTCTTCAGTCACTAAAGGTATTCAGAGATTTTTCCCAACCTGCCTAATGTTCTGCATTGGTATTCATTGAGCATTATAAATGTAACCTGGAAAAATAAATAAATAAATAAATGTAACCTGGGACTGGATCCTTGTGTGATTGGCACCTGGTTTAATATCTTGCACAGAACATCTGCCCAGTGTATGTGTTAAGAGTGTATTTGTTGAATAAATTAGTCCTTTAGTCCTCCTAGACAAGGTTATAATTTTTCTTATAAACTTAATGGACAAAGAAAATCATAAAATGTGGAACAGTAATCTTTTATCTTTCAATTAAAGTATGTTTTTGTTATGATGATAAAACTTTCCTTATTTCCTTATTTGGATTTTAAATAGTGTAATTACTTTTAAGTTTATGCCTTCTGATACAAAGGGTTTGAGGTGACATAATAAAAAATGATAAATGGAGAGAGGAAGGGTGAACATGGTATTCAATATTCACTGAATGGTATTCATATACGTTGGAAAATGAACTATGCAACATGTGAGCAGAGATGGGAGGGGGGAAAACAAAGGGATGTCCAGAAAGAAATGTGCTCATCACCTGATTTATGAAATGGTAATCTCCCCTGTACAACACCTTAATAATAACAATAAAATTATAGTTTTAATTTTTTTTTAATTTTTTTTTTTTTGGTCGGTCGTGGGGCTTGAACTCTGGGCCTGGGCACTGTCCTTCAGCTCTTCAGCTCAAGGCTAGCACTCTACCGCTTGAGCCACAGCGCCACTACCAGGTTTATTGGAGATAGGAGTCTCACGGTCTCTCCTGCCTGGGCTGGCTTTGAACCGCGATCCTCAGATCTCAGCCTCCTGAGTAGCTAGGATTACAGGTGTGAGCCACCAGCACCCGGCTAAAATTATAGTTTTTAAAAAGTAAGGCATGGCAGGAACAAAACTGTCAGAGCAAATTCTGACTGGGAATCAAGAAGTATCAGGGCTCCTGAGGCAAGAAGAAATAATCCAATTGTTCAGCTCAGTGGTAGATTACAGAGTTGTTTATTTATGCTGAGTATATGGGTTTCATACATTTTTTTTGTATATTTGGAATAGTAATAAAAATGTGTCTGGGCAAAAAAAAATAGAATGAAATCTGAATACATATTAAAGAATTGGGACCAAGGAAAATGTGAAGATAATTTTGAAATCAAGATCCCTTCACTAGTTCCAATGTTGAACAATGAATAACCCCAGAATTTAGGAACTTTGAATCATGTTATTACTTCTGAGGATTGGGGCTTGACTGAGCGTTACTGTACTCTAGCTCCACTCAGCCAGGCAGTCACGAAGGTCAGCTCAGATTCCAGGGAGAACTCGAGCCTTGCTGTTCAATAGGAAGGATGTCAGCATCACATTATAAGAAGAGAATGTGGGCTGGCATATAATTGAGCCAGTGATCTTTGCAAAAAAATCTGCTTAGCCATGGGAGAGATAAAAGACAAATATGCATTTAACTTAGCTGAGGTTTTACTGTTTTCTTAACATGTCAGTCTGCCTCCCACAAACATTTTCTTCAGTAACCTTTAGGAACCTTATTTTTTTTTTCCCCAGTAAGCCTACAGGAACCATTTTTATCTTCAAAATAATAGGGATTAGGTTGTGAAACTTGAGCATGTTTTGAATGTTTTAGTCTGAACTAGTTAATGATGTTGTGGAGGAAAATGTCATGGTGTCTATGTTTCACACTAAAAGGAATGGGAAAGAGGAATGAATACAATTCAAGCCTGAACTTACCAAATATTGCTCATTCTTTGGCTCCTGAAGAACTAGCTTATGTCTTTCCCATCAGTTCAACAGAGAAGACAAAAAACGTTAGCTCACAAACTAATTATACATATATATATATATATATATTACATATTATATATCCATTGCAAAAGATTAGTGTCAATCTTAGCTGTAGATAGATATACTAACTGAAAAGGACAAGGGAAGGGATGTACACTCCTATCCACTGGCATTTCCACTCTGCTATCTAAAGTGCATGTAGGCAGCTGAGTTTTGGCTGTGAAGTCAAAGACAATACCCTAGGAAAAGGCGTGGACACAAGGGAAGGAGCTGAGATCCCCACAAGACTGGGTTGAGTCTCAACTATGTAGGCTATCACCTCTAGACTGTTGTCTTGGATTGAAGTAAACGTGTAGCATCAGCCTCTGTATTTTGGAGACTCTTGGTTATGGCAGCTTTATCTGGCACAGAGAGTAAAAAACTTCCATTGGCTATATGACTTTATAAATATTTTTTTCAAAATCAAATAGAAATAGTTTTAAAACCTACCTTGTGGTTTTATCAAATTTTTCCCATATTTATTTTTCCAAAATGTTTTTCTAACAATGAGGGATTGAGAAGTTTGGGGCCAGACTAAAAACAAAGACTAAAGCATTTGAAACATCAAGACGGCAACACATATTTAAAAACACTTAAGACAATAAGTCCAGTGCTACACTAATCTATACCAACTTCAGTAAACTCCAGAGGGTCATGCCAGACTAATGGGGCTTACTGTACAACTCCTAGTCTCCAGAACTTAATGTAGAATTTGTCAATATTGAACCTTCATTTGGGCTTTTGCCCAGTCACTGACTCTCAGCTTGTGTGTCCACTTCTTTCACAGATAAGAACATCCTCCATCTGCTTGTCAGGTGTTCAGTTTCCTGTATTTGATCATTTTTTTTCAAGAAGCAAGGAAATCCACCATAGGCCATAGTTTTGTTTCTCGAATAGTTATCTAAAGACCAGCATGCATCATGCTTCCTCATAAAAAAGTCAGGATGGAGTGTCCAAATGTAAGTAGATGTTCAAGGGGTAAGTAGGGTTCAGATAACAGGAGTGTTGGCTTTCCAATTTTCAGGCTCTTTAAATTGGTGCTTTGAGTCCATTTCCAGATACTCTGTTGTATGTGATTTAAAATATTTTAAACTGGATTCTCTCTTCCTACAGAAACCGTAGTTTTCGTTATTTTGTAGTACTGGGGTTTGAACTCAGGGCCTGCCTAGGCAGGTGCTCTCACCTCCTGCCCTGAGAAACTAGTATTTGAGATAATTCTGCACTGTCAAGGTGGGATACTGAAGGCTTTTGATGAGATTCTCCAGTGTGCCTGGCTAACCCCCAAAATTGTTTAGCATGGCTGCTGTGTTGTCACAGTGCCCGTGAATTGTGTTGGGATACTGTATGAAAAGAAGAATATTTTCAGCTTCCTTGCTGTGTTAGCTTTGCATCACTGTGGCAAAATACCTGAGAAAATTAACTTAAAATGAAGATTTATTTTGGCTCATGGTTTGAGGTTTTAGTCCCTGATTGCTTAGTTCTGTTGTTTAGGGGCCTTTAAGCAAGCTAAATACCATGGCAGAAAACATGTGACGGGACCAAAATTGCTTATCTCTCTGCTGGTCAGGAAGCAGAGAGGAAAGAGCCATGGTCCCAGAACACTTTTCAAAGGTAAACCTCAATGATCCTAGGTAAGGCTCAAATTAAACAGATTGGATTCTTGGCAAAATCTCTAGAGGAAAGAGCTTTCCAGTGTTTCTTGGTTCTAAAAGGGTCTGCATCTTTTATTATCTTTTACTTTACTACAAATTTAGAGAAACTGGAGTTAACTTGTAAAAGATGGGTGATGATGCTGAAGATTCTTGCTATTAGAAAAGCAGATAAATGAAATTTGTCCAACCAATTCCTACCTTGCACAGTGTAAAAGAGGCTAGTTTTGCACTGTGACAAAGTACCTGATAAAATTAGCTTTTAAATGCAGGAAAGTGCCAGGCAATGTAATCCTAGCTACACGGTAAGCTGAAAGCTAAGGATTCAAAGCCAGCCAGGGCAGGAAAATCTGTAAGACTCTTATTTCCAATTAACCCCCAGAAAACGAGAAGTTTTGCTATGGCTCCAAATGTAGAGTACTAGCCTTGAGTGTAAAAACTCAGGGACAGCACTCAGGCCCTGAGTTCAAGCCCATGACAGACAAGAAAAAAAAAAGAACAGAAAAGTGTGTGTGTATGTGTTACTGGGAATTGAACTCTGGGCCTAGCCACATAAGCCATTCTTCCAGCCCCTTTTTTGAAATCGTTATTTTTGAAATAGGGACATGCTCTGTGTACAGGATGGCCTCTATTACTCTTGTATTACTCTTGTGTCACTAGTGATGTCACTTTCACAATATGCCCAGTCATTGGTTGAAATGGAATTTCTCAAACTTCTTTTCATCCAGCCTGGCCTTGAACCAGATCTCCTTGTTTCCACCTCCCAAGAAGTTTGGATTACAGGCTTAAACAACATCCTGTGGCTCTAAGATTTTGTTTCAGCTTATGATTTCAGAGGTTTCAATCCATGGTTACTTACTCCATTGTTTCTAGGTGAGACAGAATATCATAGTAGAAGAATGAGAGGGACAAAGCTGCTCACCTCATGAGGATCCAAGTAGGAGTCGGGGGAGAAAGGGATACAGACAGATAATACTCTTTAAGACCTCAAGTAGACCTCACACCTAAAGTTCCCATCCTTTCCATTAGCCCAGTAAGCATGACTCCATCTATGTATTAGTCTATTCAAGAGGTCAGA